TCGAACCCTAGCTGTGGGTGCGTACTGCTGAAGATCCCTAAAATAGGACGTACGAAACGGCTGTATAGTACTCCCAGGTTGTTTTCCAATAGTTCTCTAACTGATGTCAGCTCATGATGAAATCCTCCATACAATCAAACAAAATCCCTGCAAAACAAATACTTGGTATTTATATTTAACAAATTATTCATAAGACCAATCAGATGCTGGTAAACTTTGTTCTCAAAAACTTATTACGTAATGTAAGAAATAATCTAAATGGGGATGACTAATCGTAAACTAGAAAAAGGCGTGGAAGTTGGCGTGATAGAAAATCCTTCTGTAAGGACTCTTGTTAGCTCCGGTTATATGAATGATAATATGCAGAAATAATTTGGAAATTGCCTGTCTCGCCCAAAGTATGCATGAGTTATTCACTATTAAGAATAGGATAACAAAGATTTTTCAAGATGTCCCACTTTATGTGTGCAAACCAAATCCACTTTTAACGCTGGAGAAATTTGGGCATTGGGTATTTGATATTCACTATAATAAAGGTGGTTTGTATTTCTCAATGAATGAAATACAAAACGATATTGTTGTATTTTACTGACGTTTCGTTATTTAACGCTGCTGTTAATAGCTCTATGAAAGCAGTATTTTTAAACTAGAAGTTACAAAATCCGCTCAGCTGATAAATGACAAATTAATCATCGTTCATCAGCATCGGGTCACTTTCGCGTGGTCAAGTTAGCCAACTGGTAAATATAACAAAACCAGGTGTAGATTATTGGATTTGATAAGTGTGTGAAAATTGTAAAAGCAGCGTGTGTTTACATAATGAAATTGTTTATCACATTCGAGTTGATTTTGTCATTTCATGGGGGAGGGTGTGGGGGTTGTAATCAGGTCAAATTCTCTATTAGTTCATCATTCCTATTCAGACAATTTGGATTCCATTTCGCATGAATTACTTCTGATGATATTAGACGTTCTTAGTGATTTCTGACATTTCTCTCAATGATTTCAATATTGTCAAAATCATTTTTGTGGCTTGATTCTATAGCATGTGGACCACCACCTATGGCTGTTGATTTTTCAAGCTTGTTTAGTTCACTAAATAGATTTCTCGGTGGTCGAACAGATGCGGCTCCATGGTGTTCATTTCTTCTGATTTCGATGTATCAATAGATATGTTCGCCCGATGTATATCACGTTACATTCGAAGCACTTTCTTCTGTAGACTTAATTAGATAGAGAATGCTCATAGATTTGGTCTTTTGTCTGTACAGGGTTGCTTTTTAGTGTGTCTGATGTTTTGAAGAAAACTCTGTTGTAATTGTTGAGTACTCTCCTGATATTTTCTGTTGTTTCTGATCTATATGGAATGACAACTGTTGACGTCAATGTCTTCTGAACACGTTTTCTAACGTACTTAATGTTATTGTTGATTTTGTCGATGAAGTCCTTTGAGTGGTTATTTTACCTGAGAGTTTCAGTAATGTTTGATATTTCTTCTTCTTTTTTTTTCTAATCCGTTTTTTCATTCATTGGGAAATACAAAGAAGAACACCTCTATTATAATGAATATTCCACTATAGTCGCGTGTATAGTCAATGAGAAATCAAAAAGGAGAATCTACAATCTCCCTGGTATTAGTTCGATGGTAAATCCATCTGAATGAACTACCTCTTTATGCCTAATTTTGCTTCCGCCTACCCTTCTATCTACTAATGAATTTCTCATATCAAATGCAAAAACAGACTGAGGCATGGAGCTAGCAACTCCACCTGCAAAACTTAATCAAATCGCTACAGAAACTGCAACGCACAAATATATTAAAAACAGACTGTAAATAGTCTAAAATGGATGCACGCATATCTTCACCCTCTTCATATTCACAATTTGTGTATAACGTTTTCTGAAGAAGAAGTGGGTAAGAGAGAATAAAAATCACTTTTCTAAGTGTCCAGTATCTAGTGGTTTGCAGACAGCACATTTAACAAAAAAAAGAAAAAGTTGTTTATATAAGTGTTAAGGACAATTAAATCCCTCTAGAAAATTTGTCCTGTTAGAATTCGAGTTACTTCCCCTAACTTAAACTCAGCTAATAGGCAACACATAAACATAATTGCGAACAATCTCACTAAAAATGATAGCACATAATCCAGTTATTACGTCACTAATATTTATTGTAGACGTGGGTATTGTTAACACACACTGTCATGTCTAGGAGAAGTGTGTGTGTGTGTGGGCGTGTGCGTGTGGTTTATATCTTGAAAGCTTCGTCAATGCGCTTTGAGTTTTCACAATGGTGTGTGAAAACAAATATTTATTACTTCTTTAAGTGGGATTATAAATGCTGCAAAATTTAATTTGAAAGTTACATCATCATTTCCCTAAGGCAGTAGGAAAGAATTATTCTTTATTCGTTGACAAAAAGCCTCTATTTATATGCGAATACATTTCAGAGGTGATATACCAAGTAAAATAATAACCGACAAGCTGAGGAAAGCGATTCCGGGAATGTTTAACGCTGGCAAGCTGTAGTTTATATTGTTATTTCTGAAACTCAGAGATGAAGTGTCTAGACTAACTGCCTCTAATTGCATCTATTTGTGACAGTCATAAAGAAAGGGGAATTTTTGTTTTCAACGATTCTTATGGACTTGTTTTGACAAGGTATTATTACAGAACCCTAGTTTCGACGATGAGGCCGAATTCTCTGTAAAAATTCAATTGTTCACAGTAGGATATCATTGGGAGTAAACATTGTCTTAATTCCCTATACTTATGCATAGGCAAGAAAATGATTCCACTTGGTTAGTTTTGATTTACAGCTAGCTGAACTTTAGAAGAATTTTTGAATGATGGTCGATAGAGCCAAATACACGATCTGTCTAGGTTTATATGATTTATTATCTAGCCATTAGCAAACTACCCTATCACTGGGGGACTTTATTCGTGTGTAATGTAGGAAAGCTTCAAGTTGTTGGAGAAGTGATGGTTTCTTGAAGCGAAGCATAATAAAAAAACTGAAAATTAACTTAAAACTTTTTATCTTCACGGCATTTCTAATGTTCTGGATCGAAAGATATGTTGAAGATTAAAAGAAACAGTAAGGTGAGAGAGCAGCACAAAATTCGATAAAATAAGCTAGGAAACACCACGTTAACTACGGTTAGTCTGCAGCTAGTCAATTACCTGAAATGTACGAAAATGATTTCTTTCATTAGACACTAGGCGGTGAGTAACTGGGTCATGCGTCTAGTCCATTCTCTGGTGCGAACTGAATTCTGTCAGTCAAGCATGTAATGTGGCCACCATTCAAGGAAGCTCGCTATCAGAGTGCACATTGGTTTCGACTACAGGAAACCTTGTCTGAACTTGAGTTTCGTGTTAGTTGACACTCGTCAGGAATACGTTTCTGGAATCTTGAAGAAACTCATGTTTTTTCTTAGATCCAAACCTGAGCCACCCAGTGCTGCAGTCAGAGACGTTACCACTTAGCTATGCAGGCTGGCGATTGACTTCCTCTAGGACTATATTGGATACCTTGATTCGACACTAGTTAGTAAGTGGTGTGGTGTGTCTAGCTGTTTGTTTTTGGTGCAGACTGAATTCTACCATTCAGATTTGCAGTGCGGCCACTAGTCTAGGTAGCTCACCATCACAATGTACATTGATTCGGCCGAAGCAATAGGCAGGAAGCCATGAAACAAAGCAAGAAACCTTAGTCGAATTCAGTCTGCACCAAAACAAACGGCCAGACACATTACACTAGATACTAGCATTCAATACAGTCTTCCAAGAGGTCAATCGCGATTCTGAATAGCTCAGTTGTAACGTCTCTGAATGCCGAGCCCACTGGGTGACGCGGGTTTGAATCTAAGAAGGGACATGAATTCTCTCAAGATTGCAGATACACCTTACTGACAAGGGCCATTTAACACGAAACCTAGGTCCAGACAAGGTTTCCTGTAGTCGACTACCTCCAACCATCTAATATCATCAAATCAATATGCACCGTGATTGTGAGCTACCTAGAATGGTGGTCGCATTGCAAACCCGACTGATAGAATTTAGTCTGTACCAAAGGAAGGACCAGACACATCACACCAGTTACCAGTGTCCAATCAAAGTTTGGAGTCTCCTGTCAATCAACATCATGTAACAATTCCAAGTATGTTAAAACTGTTTCTGTATATAAACTACCTGACAATTTCTTCAGGCTGTATAAGCCGCTGATGAGAAGCCAACGTACTGTTGATGATTCCCAAACTAGGATGAAACAGATGTCCAATACTTCCTACTTCTGGTTTTCAATGGTTCTTTAACTGATATCAATCCGTGATCAACCATAGAAAATTAATCTGATGCTCGCTAGTGACTGACTTGCTACAGGACGGAGTTTCCTAGAGTTCTAGTAAGAAGTCATGACCAGTGAGGTACATTCAGTCAAGTGTGAGGATGGATCTCACACCGACGACATTGGTTGGTGCCAGTCACGCTAAACTTAATCACGAATTGGTAGAAGCTAGAATTCATGAGCTACTGAATGGGGCTGAATGATATGCAAACTTGACTTGAAACTGGAAGGTCCTGGGTTCGAACCCTTCTGCGGTGGGTGCGTACATCCTACGATTATCAAACTAGGGTGAAACAGGTGTCCAGTACTCCCAGCTGGTTTTCATTTTGTCTCTAACTGATATCAATCCGTGATCAACTCGTAGGAATAAAAATGATGATACCATCTTATTCTATACGGATTCTTGTTCTTGCTTTATTCAAATTGATAAAGGATAGCAAAATTTATGAAGATTTTGACGAATCTCCTCCCTTCAAAATTATAAGTTTACTTTACGATCTCACTGGGAATTATTCAAAACTTGAGGTTTACTAGATAGTTGCAGTTTGTGATGAAATATTCCACGGAATCGATAAATTCTCCCCAAACTATGGAAGTCAGTATTTTTGTATAATTTAATAATAGAATCTATTCTTATAGATAGAAAACTCACGTTTAGGAAAATATGCCCTCAGTTGTCCTTTATATGGTCCGTCAATTTGATCGCATAATGTCTGGCGAATATTCACTTCCTTCTCACACATCTGCGTTGATCAACAGAAATAAGAAAGAAAAACGTTTAATATTCGCACATTGTATGATAAGATGGACATTTTGATAGTTATATTTTAACCATTACAATCTGACACTGTGACACTGTGTAAGCAGGAACTTGTAAAAACAGTAATTTGTGAGACCGTAAATTAACACCTAAAAACTAATAAAGGTGGCTATCTATTCTTCACAGGTAAGTGAAACTGCCTATATATCACTGACATGCTACTCCTTATGCCATTTGGCAAAACTTTTAACATCTGTCTGAATTTCACTGTAGGCAAAATTAATTGTGATAAATTTTCACAAAGGTACACAGTAATATTCACTGATGACCATGTTTCGAGCCCAATTTATCACTCCTTATAATCCTATCAAGTTACTCACACAGCTTTGTGACTTCGTTTATATAAGTCCATTATTTTTCATTGTTTGACTTGATTGTTAGTAATATTTTCGATTATTCTGGTAGGGGTGATGAGTCATTCTTATTGTTCATGTTGGGTGTAGACTCGATGAATCAGGCACGATTCAGTAATCAACCTCTCTCTCCACCTACCTTTATTACTTTGTGGAATTGTAACCCACTAACACCCTATTATATGGTTGTGTGTTAATACGTGCAGTGCAGTGTAGTGTTGATCTTTTTTCTAAATTACTCATCTTCTCGGGTGGGGTCAACCATTCTTATGTTCTGACAGTCTGACTAACTCTGATCTACTTGCTTGACCTATGTAGTTGACTTAACTTACAGTCATTGCAAGGTATTTTGTAGATTATATTATTTGATTGAATTGGGTCAACTTAACACAGCTTGTCCCTGAGGTAGTTTGTAGGTCAGAATGCCACCCTAATTCCTGATTTATTCAGAATCCTTCGTAGGGTCTCAGATGTCCCCTCCTTATACGGTATAACAGTGGATGACTAATATTCTCTTCTTTTTATGTTATCACTGCTAGTTTCACGATTATTTTTAATTTGCTTTTGGCCTTTTTAGATCTTCCCAATGAATTTTACAGGATAGTTATTCAACACCAACATCTCTTCTGTCTGTTTTATTTTATAATTTAGGTCTTTTCTTGTGCTAATTAGCACTACTGGTAACTATTCTTCAAACTATTCTCAATGTATTTGCTGTGTTAATAAGCTTTATGGGTAGATTTTATAAAGTATGTTGCTCTAAGCTAGTCAAAAATAGTCGAATAAACTTGTACAAGATTTAGCCGATTCACAGTCTTATTTATTTGTATGATTCAGTAGCATGCTTTTTGCACTGTCAGTTGTTTTGTGAACTTTTGGGTTCACTTCTGGTTTAACTGCATTTTTTAGATTTTCCCGTCGATTGACTGGACCGAAGTGCTCGATCTCAGGTTGACATGTCGGCTCCTTGTGCAGATGCTTCGATGATATATGGGCATTTAATTAGTATTTAATTAGTGGATGGTGCCGACATGTCAACCTTAGACCGAGCATTTCGGTCCAATCAATCGACGGGGGAATCTAAAATATGCATTTGAAATTAATATGACCCATTGCACAAAAAGTGGCTGTCACTGTCCAAGTGGTCTAGTGGATAACGCCTTGACGTTTGATACTTTGGGCACTGGGTTCAAGCTTCGGTGGGGTGATCAACACTCACCGCGGAATGCAGATACATCCAGCTGGCGGACGAGTTCCAAATAGGACGAAATGCGCGTCCTGACTGGATTCCACTGCTAGTGACCATCCTTGTTCTGGTTTCTTCATCAACTTTGGAAATCCTTAATCTTGCTTCATTACTGTTTAATCGTTATACACAAGTATTATTTTTAATGAAACTTAAGTATTGCGGAAAAAAGCCTCTTCTTAACAAAACAGCGGTTTTTTATTTCTTGGTAGAGTTTCACATCGAGAAAATATTAATGCCAACATAGATACGAGATGAAATCATACCTCAGTTCCACATGATCTCATTCTAGTTCTAGTTCCATGACAAAAGTCTCCTCCATATTGTGGTCTGTAACAAGATAGGCAAAACAGAAAAAAAAAATAAGAAAAGTGGGAGTACTAAAGCATTTTGTTCTAGGGATTTAATGTTGCAATTAAAAACCAAAAAAAAAAATGATCAAAAAGTGGATGGAGATTTGGTTTTGTGATATTTTCGTTTTTAGATTTAGAAGAACAAGAAGTTCTCAAGTATTGGTTTTGTAGGGATTTTGTTTGATTGCATGGAGGATTTAATAATGAGCTGACATCAGTTAGAGAACCACTGGAAAACCTGGGAGTACTGGACAGCTGCTTCGTCCTAGTTTGGGACTCTTCAGCAGTACGCACCCACCGGGATTCGAACCTGAGACCTTCCGGTCACAAGACTAGCGAGCTCGTAGACCATTGAGCCACTGGGACCCGATTCAATGGTCCTTGAATTCTAACTTCTGCCAATTCACGACATAGCGCGACCACTTCGCAATGTCTTCTTCGATGAGTTACTGCCTCATCATCTTGGTTGAAGATGTCAGCTGATGTCAGCTCATGATTAAATCCTCCATGCAATCAAACAAGAAGTTCAGCAAACAGATATCTGGCTTTTCGGCGATTTCATTCTCAAAAGCATCTATACAGTCGTATTTCTATAGATTAGTTTACATGCATACAATTATTATTTATTTAATTCCACATAGTAACAAAGGTGATAATAATTTCAACTTGATATGAAAGTTTGAAGGTACGAATATAGATTACACGGGGCTGTTGGCATATGCATCGGAAAGTCGGAGCTATGTGTTCAAAAAGAATCTAGTCAAGCCTTTACAACTACCATGGACCTAATTCGGTATGTTCCCTTATCCTTCAGTTTTTGTTTTGTTTTCTACGTGTGATTTTCTCTCTTTGCCTTCACTCAATTCATCCTATTTTTTTCAGTTATAAAATCAGTTATTTTATGATTGTCTTTGGCCTGTAAGCAGCTGACGAGTACGCAACAAAATTAAAGATGGTACCACTTTATTCTTCTAAAACTGTAGTTCTTGCTTTATTCAGATTAAATTAGGTTAAAGCAGACGAATTTGAAGTCTTTGAGATCAGTTAAACTTATATCACCTTTGTACCTTATATGTTCACTATCCTACTGAGATAGAAGATTAGAAACTTGCAGAATCCTGCTTAGCAAGTTATCGCCAAATAAATACTGAAAAAAAACGAATAAGTTTAATATTCGCCTAAGGTTTTTGAAATTTCACAAATAGAACGCAGTTCCCTTTAAAAAAATTAAATGATTTTGTGAAGTTTTATGATGTTTTGGTCCACTTGTTTCCAGTTTTATTCTCACTCTTTTCTGTTTACCTAACATGAGTACTTACCGAAAGTACCGAAAGAGGTTACCACCATTACTTATCTGCTCAGTATCCTTTCAACCGCAATCTAATTGACAGATACGAAGGTCATAAGCAGAATCAGAAAAGAAAGGATAGGCTTTCATCACTCTGAAATCAATTCGGAAATCTTCTGTACTCAGTCAGCATGTAGGGCAAGGATTGAACTTTCAACACCGAAGTAATAAGTCATCTCTTATAAATGGGTGAAAAACTTGACGCGTTATGAAAAGCATTTGGAACAGGCCACTGCAGACTATTATCAGTAGTTGAGTTCGATAGCTCTATAATGAAGTGCAGATGGCCGGTCGGAAAGAATAATCGAAGAGAATACGTTCACCAAACAAACTAGACAGTGAACTAATGCTTGTTGAAAAATGCTTGAAAGAAAATGGTTACCCACAAAGTTTCATTAACAAATATAGCAAGAATGAACTCAAAAAGCTTAATACACCTACAGTCAGTAAGAAGCCTATTTTCATCAAACTCGACTACAAGGGCGACGACATTATGAGAATGGTAAACAAAAGATTAAGCACAGCCCTGTCTAGGACGTATCCTGCAGCGTCACTAGTCTCTCTATCCCAACTGCCGCAGTCAAAGATTGACAAGTACCCCTCACATGTTACCTCCAGCTCTGTATACCGATTCATATGTATCTCTGGGAACAGTTACATTGGAAGATAAGAGAGGAGAGCCTATGCCAGATTCTGCAAACATGTACCAAGGAGCCTCCAGTTAAAGGGGCCGAATTGTTTACGCTCTTCAATAGCCAAACACCTGATTGACACAGGATACCGAGTAGATGTGCTGGAATCATTCAAAATAATAATGAACAGACAAAGTACCTGAAGTCTTCTCAGGTTTTCTGAAGCTATAGCAATAAAACGATTGAAGCCTGACTTATGTGTCCAGAAAGAATCTGTTGTTGGACTTCAATTAACCTGGTGACTCACCTCTTAGTAACTCTTTGTTTTCTAATTTGGTTAACTTATCTTTTCACTCCCTACCCCTTTGCTTTTCGCTTGAATCTCTTAAGAGATCATTTTTCTTGATCTTTTGAGTTCTCCTCACTGTATTACATCATCAACTTCTAATATGACCTCATGTGCACCGAAACTGTGAAATTTTGATCTTCTCTTCTCTAATTACGTAAATATTACTAGTTTCTTTTGTTACCATCCCAACAACAAAACCGTTAATTAATTTTTTCAAGGCACTTCTCTCTAACAAGATATATATATATGTCGTAACACTTTAGAAATCTTGTAAAGTGCAACGCCTTATTTCACTATGACGCTCTGACAATATGCTTGCTAGTGGACAAAAGTCTGTTAAAATTGTACACTTTGTTTACTTTATTAAAGAATTCAGGTTTTACGCAGCTGATGAAAACCAACGAAATAAAATGGATCCAGGTTATTCTGCGCCAACGTTTCTTCATTCTTTGTTCAAATTTATAAGAGGATTTTTGTTGATTAAATAATTATAAATCCGCTGTTCAATAAATATTTAGAAGAGAATGGAGACGGATCGAACACCCATGTCAGCCGATTAAGGAGATACTACACACCCTACCATTGTGGTGAGAGCAGGCTGCTAGCCGATTGGTTGGCACTAATCTACGTTAAGGTCTAGGTCACTAATATGGGCCGTGAGAAAATATGAACAAGGCTGAGTCAACAACCAATCACAGCAAAGTTAACGTGGCAAAATATGATTCGCAGATAGAGAACTCTATTTGTCAAGGAATCCCGAAACAACCAATCAGAAGCCTGCGTTTGTCTACCTAACTTCTGATAAACAACCAATCAGATGACTGCGCTTGTCTATAATAATGTAGTTGAAATATGTATAAATACGTGTTGATTTTCATAATAAAACGATCTGTTGCCTGGCCCTTGTCTTCTGTTGTTACATTTGGTGTCGCTGCCTACCGACAAATGGAAAGCCTATGCCCTGCTGTTTTCGATGGAGACATATGGATCTTCGGGCAGGACTTCAAGGCTTCTGCGCAGTTGAGTGGCGTTCAAGATCTGTCAGCGATGGAGCTGCTACTTGGGACGCTGCTGGGAGGTCGGGTGAAAGCAGCATATGAAAGTGTGAGCCGAAGTATGGACGAATGTTCGACAGGGTCAGGCAAACAGTTTCCAAAGTGGGAAGGACCATATATGGTCACTTCGAGATGGGGTTACGCAGACACAGTCGCAATGGCGAACAATAAGAGGCGCGTGAACGTCAGCGAGCTCCAGAAATGGATACGGCGAGACAAGCCAACGATGACGCCTGCACCAAGTAGATCAAGCCGACTTCAGTCGCACGTATTTGACGGGGGGACGAGTGTGGTGAGAGCAGGCTGCTAGCCGATTGGTTGGCACTAATCTACGTTAAGGTCTAGGTCAATAATATGGGCCGTGAGAAAATATGAACAAGGCTGAGTCAACAACCAATCACAGCAAAGTTAACGTGGCAAAATATGATTCGCAGATAGAGAACTCTATTTGTCAAGGAATCCCGAAACAACCAATCAGAAGCCTGCGTTTGTCTACCTAACTTCTGATAAACAACCAATCAGATGACTGCGCTTGTCTATAATAATGTAGTTGAAATATGTATAAATACGTGTTGATTTTCATAATAAAACGATCTGTTGCCTGGCCCTTGTCTTCTGTTGTTACACCATCACTCAAGTGAAACACGAAAAGTGAAAATCGATGAGTTGGCTATGGGTCTGAGGGTAACATGGAGGTGATCGTGTGAGAAGAAGATGACAGTCTGAAGAGGACTGCAAAGGATAGGAAACAAAATAGAGATGTGGTTTTGAATCCTTATGTTCCACTCGGAACCCGAGAGAATAAAAATAATCATAAAATAAAAAAAGAGGCAAACTGGGATAGAAAATGTTTCGAGGTCAATTCTATCCCTATCTACGCGTATAAGATATACTTTCACACAAACAATTCTAATTTTTTGTTATGTTGACCTGATGTCAATTTGAGAAATAAACATCATATATATATGTATATAATGTTTTCTACATACTCTGGATTATTGCATTCTCTTTCAGAATATTGCACTCCTCCGCCACAACTACGTGAACACGCTGACCATGAACCCCATTCACCCCAACCTCCGTGTAGTGGAGTTGGATTCTCGTTAGTAGGTATGCACTGCCCTTGAATACACCACTAAAGATAAAAAATAAACAAGCAGTAATAATATACAGAAAACATAAAGCACTGAACTGATTGGAGATAAAAGCAAGTCATTCAGTTATTTGAAGAATGCTGTCTTTCTCCCCTATATGACTTGATTTAAGTAGGCCAGTTTTAAGAAGATCCCCAAAAAACGTATCTGCATATAATTTGGAACGAATAAAAAAATATTTAACGGGATTGTGAAAAAGAATAATTTGAATTTCTATTCTTCGAGTGGAATTAAGTTCTATACTTTTTGAACAAAATAAGCAAATCAATTTAATTTAGTACATTTTGAAACTTGGGAAAAGTTCGAATCCAACGCAAATTGACTAATATTAGATCGTTGGAGGAAATCTGCAGGAAGCCATGTCTAGACCTAGATTTCGTGCTAGTTGGCACTCACCAGTCACTGAGGCATATCCGCAGTCTTGAAAGAACTCATTTCCCTTCTGAGCAGATTCGACCCCGTATCACCCAGTGAGCTCTACAGTCAGAGATGTTACCACATAACTATTCTGCCTAGCGATTGACCTCATGTAGGACTGTATTAAATACTTTGATCCGACTATAGTTAGTAACTAGTGTGGTGTGTCTAGTTGTTTGTTTTCGGTGCAGACAGAATTCACATCAATAAAACAATCTTTAATAATTCTGTAATTTATCCACTTCAACTCTACGCCTTATAACATTTTAATTATCGTTATTCTTGTCACATATATATGTATATTGACTGAGCAATTATCTAGTACCACTAAATAACCTTTTTATGTAACATAAATACGACTGTACAGGTTGAAAATGAAATCGTTGAAAAGAAGTTTCTTCGCTGAACAAAAAACTGTGTTTTTACTTATGAATAAATGGGTATTTTCCGTGATTGAGAATTCTATTAGTCAGCCAAGTTTTCAATGTGGCCATCATGCAACTGGGTGACTCGTCATCACCGTGAACATTGATTTGACGATATTAGATGGTTGGAGGCAATCGACAGGAAGCCTTGCAACCAGTCTTTGTATTTATTATCGATAAAAACTAGGCCTGCCTTATTTAGTAAGCTAATGTCTATCTGAAACAACGAGTAGGTTGGTGAAAATTGATAAAAAGTTTTACTATACAGTATGTAAATCGAAAGGTAAAGTCTTCTTAAAATGTATCAGCTTTCTTTATAATTGTCATAAACACATAAACTACATTTTGACTGTAATAGAAGAGAACAAAATGACCTACCTTATTATGTCCACATGGTGTTCCTTCAGCCCAAGCTGCTTCCATAGGCAAACATGACTTGTGCTCACTGTCTTGACAGTAAAGTTGACGGCAAACTGGTAACTGTGACAAGAAGAAGATGTAAGTAAACAATTTAATTCAGGGCAAGAAGAATGATAGAGAGCCAAGTACAATATAGATATGCTGCTGATACTTTAAGTTGATATAGCAACGCACGTAACAAATGATTATAGACAATAAGATAGTAAGATACACGTGGCGTATATTTTAATATCATTAAAATGAAGCTAATTTAAAAGAAATAATGTTTCTTAAGATGATTGACTCTCACGTTTATTAACTTTTCAACTAACAGTAGGTCGTTCTAAATTGCTTCAAAAATAATTTCTGGAAAAACCACTTGTCCTATAGAATGTACAACTGATTTGTGATGCTGTCAAGCTGTCTGCAGAATAATTATTCGGTTTATATTCTGAAAAGAGAACTTAAGATATTATTTTATTTCAGTGGAAAGTCATACCACTTTATATACGGTTTAATAGCTTAACATCTAAAGCGTAGTCTTACCCAGACCCCATGTTTGTTGGGGGTCTGCTTCTATTAACAAACTACCTGAATTTCCATCTAACAACTTCGAAATTCGGTATATAACCCTGAATGCTGTGTTGACGTCGATATTACGTCCAGTATCGACCAAGTGTAACAAGATCGAGTTTTTTATGCACTTAATTTCCCCCCTGTTGAACTAAGCTGTTAGATGTTTGTATACGAACCTGACTGATCGTGAGCCCTGTATAACTTGAACCCCAGGAACAGTTGAAATGGTATATGCATAAAGAAGAGCTAAGGTCAGGTAAGACATCTTTGAGTTGCTGGGTGAACTTTGGACGGCTACTGAAGGATGGAAAGTTTTCTTGATCGCCCTGGTTAAACGTCGCGATAGAACCTCCGCAGGAGTATCTCCCTTGAATTGGAGACGTAAAAATCGAGACTTTTTCTCTACCGTTGCCAGTTCATGTTTACGACCATTGTAACCAATGTTAGCCTTAATGAACTTCTCCCTTAGAATGTCTCGGATGACCTGGAATTCTTTCTCTACGTAGTCTTCGGAACAAATGGACCTTGCTCTCAGTGCTAAGCACCTGATCAGATTTTGTTTGTATTTCATCGGTACGAAGCTAAGGAAGTGTGTATATTGAGCTTTGGTCTCCAGCTTTCTAAATGTGGTTCTTTTGACAATATTTCGTAATCGATTTCAGCCCAGAGCATGTTTGTCACACAAATACGACTATTTATTTTGACACCCCATAGCTAATCTGTTATTCTACGTAAAAAAAATGTATCCGCTGCATAACTGGCCTTTATTGTAACGACAACAAATATTATATTTTGTATTTGTAAGAACCTGAAGAGAGAAATTATTGAAAAGAATATTCTTCGTTCAGATTGACTTTTAATTCATAATATGACAATATTTCACACTATTATTGGAAGTGAATGGAAGAAAAATCGAAGCCGTTTTATTTTCTTATATTTTGTCATGTATTGCTATCTAAATAGTAATTAACCGGGAATATTCCCCATCAAAGTTTAATTTAATACTCTTTATTTGAACTGTATCTAACATGCATCTGGTTTTATTGCAATTTTCTGAAAGCTTCAAATGCAAAAGAAAAATGGTAATTAATTACTTAGTAAATTCGAAAATACGCAGATTTATATGTCCATCTCTTTCATTTAAAAAAAGTGGTTTTTATTCCCTCACGTTTCGAGTGAGGACTTGAAGTTGGAGTGGCAGTGGGATGGCGTCACTAGCCTCATGCCCCTCCCCACAACCTTCCTGCTTTACCAGTCTTATTACTGGCTTAGCGAGGTAGAGGAGGGAATCGTGGATCAAACCCAAAACCATCTGTGGAGTGGTTGGTGAGCATTCTACCACTATGTCAACGACGCACACACACACACACACAGACACACGCATACATATATGTTCATAATTGAGACTTACCATTTGACCACAAAATTGTGTTCCCTTAATTTTCAATACAAATTCACATTGTCGATTTAATGAGAATACACGTCCTGGACGATTTTCAACATATTGACTGGCTAATTTTTCTGCAGAATATAACACTGTTTCTGTATTTGGGCGTCTTAGACAATTTGCTGCATTTGACCTAGTTATTGATAAGCAAAGCGAAAAAAATTAGGAAAAAACAAACTAAAGCAACAGATATAAGTCATTAAGCATTAAGTATATGCGAAAGCACAAAAAAAGAGAAAAAAAAAAGATTTTCGGAGAAAAAGGATTAATTCTGAATTGATTTATGTTCCGTGTGCTGTGAAGTCATTGGCAAATGAGCCAGAATATGAGAGTGAAATGAATACTCCACTTACATCCATTTACTTTCTTTTTTCTTGTTTTTATTCTTATTAAGATAAGTACGGCGTTATATGCGCCTGGATTGCATTTCTTCATCGAAAGTAGAAGGGGTCAGGGAAACGGAGGGGGGGAGGGGGGTAATTTAACGATAAAAATTGCTTTTTCATAAGGGAATTAATTACAGTTTTGTTTATCGTATCTTTGAAATCTCTGATATGCTTTTGATATATATATATATATTTACCTATTAAGTAATTATTATTACTATTATTATTAGTATATTTAATGAGTTATGTATATACTAGTACATTAATTGCATTAGTGGATTTATATTTATAACTAATGTACAATTAATTCTATTAGTAATTACTGAGCAATTCAAAAAGGCAAAGTGGATAGGTTTCTTTTGGAAGGATAATTTATTTGTCAAATGTAAAGAAATAGCCTGTTTATTATGTCACCAAGACCCAGTTAATAATTTTGTGATAAGCTGTGAATGGAAATTCCCTATGGTAGTAATATACTACCAAACTGGACTTTATCGATGATATATGTCTGATTTCCCACAAACTGGAAGATATGCAAGTGAAAAGCAACAAGTTGGTAGAAGAAGCATCAAAGATAGGACTACAGGTGAACGTAGATAAAACAGAATTGATGAGGATTCCTGGCCAACACCAACGGCAACAACAACCACAGACAACAATCAGCCAGCATAAATGGAAGGAACCTGAAAGAAACAACCTCCTTTACCTATCTATCTAGGAAGCATCGTTTCAACTACAGGCGAACGGAACTGAGGAGAATATCAAAGCCAGAATCGGAAAAGCAAGACAATCTTTCATTACTCTCAAATCTGTGTGGAGGTCAACAGCACAAGGCATCAAAAAAGATCCGAATTTTCAACTGCGATGTAAAATCAGTCAGTGCTGCACTACACGGATCAGAGACTTGGCGAGTCATAAAGAGCATCTCAAACAAACTTCAGACCTTCTTTGACAGTTGGCTTCGCTCAATGCTACTCAAGATGAGATGGCCGGCTAGAAAAGATCAGCAACAGGGATCTCTGGCAATGAGCGAACTAACCAGGAACCGATTGCGAAACAAATAAGCAGAAAGAAATGGAGATGGACGGGCCATACGCTGAGGAAACCATCAAGTGACATCACTAGACAAGCCATTGCTCGAGTGGAACTCGAAAGGGAAGCGGGCGGCGAGTTGATCCTCCAAGGGTGACTTGGAGGAAGTCACGTGAGGAGGAGATGAAAGCATGTTAACAGACTTGGAGCAGGGTGAAAAAGTTAGCAGAAACCCGAAAGCAATGGAGACGCGTGACTGAAGCCCTATGTTCCTCTAGGAATTAAAGGATATAATAATAATAATAATCTGGTGGTTGTGCTAAATCATGAATTGTTAGAAGTTGGAATTCATGTGTTGGCCATTGAATCGGGTGCTAGTGGCCTTATAATCCAAAGGTCCTGGGTTCAAACCCTAGGAGTGTGTGTGTGTACTGCCAGTGACTCCCAAACTTCGTGTGAAACAGTTGTCAAGTACTCCCTGCGGCTAATTTTCAATGGTTCTCTAACTGATATCAATCCGTGATCAACTCGTAAAAACAAATAATCTTACCTTGTATAACACTTAATAATACATGGTTAATAAGAGGATTGAGTAGAATTATAGAAAGCAAGTTAAGAAGTTGTGTCAGTACAGAGATAAGACTATGGACGGTTAATTCTGTCTGAGATAACATCTACTTATTAGCATTTTACAAATGGATATTATATCAGATACAAAAAGTCAGGAATGATAGTGCAAAAAGCTTTCATCGTCAAGCTGAAAGCCTTCAAAGATGCTGGAAATAGATTATAATTCTAGTTCAAAGGTCAACGACTGAATGACGTAATTACGAAGGACACATTCAATAAAGCCATCAGGGAAAAGCTGAATACATTATATAGCATCAATGAGGGAATCGAAATAAAGGAGAACTGAAACTTTTTAAAAGTGGTGTCGAAGGAAAACCTGTATAGAATTCTTACAAATAAAGAAGAGGAGAGATGAAGAATGATCTTCTATGGACACGCAACAGCTAGTAGAGGAGATAGAGACAGTGATTCGGAAGACGTATCAGTGTAAGCAGAGAGTGAGAAGATGGGTTCAATCTATAACGCGCACTGAATAAACCAAAAAAAGAAGAATAACAAAGGAGAATTCTACGACTAGAACAGATCAAGTCGCCAGTGGAAGAGAACTCAGAACATTACATTAGATAACCAGGTGTTGATCTCGGAAGAGACCAACACAGATCAAACTCTGTATAGATAATCAAGGGAACCAAATTACCGATGAGAAGATAAGGTAAAGATGGGCTTATCCCATTACAGGTCTCTTGTATTGACCACGACCTACAACCTGTCCAGAAAAGCAAGCTGTTTAATCCTAGTATGGGACATTTCAGCATTACGCGCCCAACGCCAGGGTTTGAACACAGTACCTTCTGGTTACAAGACGACTTCGTTGAGAAATGTACTCTTGAAATTCAACACTTGCCAAGGATTTTAATTTCTATCAAAATACTAATTTCCTCTAAGGACTTTCATGTGAATTCAACAGGATCTAGTTCTGATTGTGTTGGTGATTTTATGGTAGAAAACACATTGAGTCATATGAAAAAGAGAAGACGTTCAGCGAACAGACTCTTTTCGCTGGCAAATTCATTCGCATAACTGTACAATCGCATTTATATACAATTATTTGTGTGTTTTTGTATGTGGGGTTTGTCAAGTTTAGATAATTAATCAGGTAATACAAGAATGAAATAATATAGAAACAAGGTTGATTAGAGTCCCAAGAAAACTACTCTACATGAAGCTTCAATTCAATGGAGATTTATTTACGGAAACACTGAAAATCGACTGTCACGTTCACTAGTTCGTTCAATCACTACACTTGCAATAGACGTAATCTATCTTATTACCGGACAAGTAAATTCTACCTAATCTTTTTTTTTTGTCTGTCTCTTGATTAGTATTATTTCGTCTCTACAATTGTAATATTTTTCATTTTCAAATTTCCTGTACTCTACCACCACCCGATTTAATTTCTACACGTCACTACCACTGTTACTGACCGGACCAACGTTCAATTTCTAGTCATTTATGTTACGTCATCCAACTTATTTGCTTAATTTTGGTTCCAATCTAAATGGTATTATTATCTTCCTCACCTCTATTTAGTTTCTACCTGTGATTATCTCTGTTGTTACCCTGACCTAGGTTGAAACACTTTAGTCAATTATATTACGTCTTCCAACCTACTAACTAAGTCAATCTTACTTTAGTTGCTGTCTAGTTAACCGTGTTTCTACATTAGATCATTCTTGTATTACCTGATAAATTATCTAAACTTGACAAACCCCACATACAAAAACACACAAATAATTGTATATAAATGTGATTGTACAGTTATGTGAATGAATTTGCCAGCGAAAAGAGTCTGTTCGCTGAACGTCTTCTCTTTTTCAAATAACACATTGCAGTATATTCGTCTTGACTTGCGCAACAAAGTTGTCTGGTGTTAACAGATTCACCGATACGATTATCACCTGTTCCACTTTTGTCAAATAGCATGAAATCAATACTTGGATAAAGAAAGCTGGTCAATATTTTCCTAAGAGTTTGTTATCACATGAAGACAGGAAGACATCTTTTGGAAGATTGTTCCACCTCACTGAATCATCTATAGTTTCTAGGATCTATGGCGTAGAAATGCTATACTTTATAAATGCACCGGAAAATTATCCCTACACTTTTACGAAACAGCTATTATTATTTTTAAAACTTTAGAAAAGGACATAAAATTTGGCAATTAATACCCAAACCTTTCGGTTTAAATTTACATTTAAATTTACACTTCAAGTCACAGTGATGAATTTCTCGGTGTTGTAACTGACTGATGATTGACTTACTCTATAAATGTATGTATCGCTTGACGACTACACGCAGACCATCTTAAAGGGAAGTTGTCAAAGTACAGCGTACCAGACATTATTGTGTCTCTTTTAATAAATTCATATTGATGAACATCTGGATTCCAGTAACTCTCTCTGTAGTCCCAACCATCTCCAGCTTGATGATATGGATAAGTGCCCAGCTTCAATTCATGTGTACTAGTCCACGGTGTTTCCATATTTCGATTTCGTTCTTCTAATCCACAATCTGAGTTTAACTCGAAATCGTGTTTAGCACCCAGTCTAAAAAAATAAGAAGAATAAGAAATAAAATGTTTAAGTGAGGGAGAAGCAAGATCTATTCGTAGTTTTATTTTAGCACACCTTGTTGATACTGAGCATAAGCTTGATGTTAATACTGCATTTAAAATTATTTATCGCATTCCGACTAATCTTAATTTCTCCTTACGAGTTCGTCTTCTACAGACAGCAGAAGCAATCAAAATTCACCTGAAGTAGCCAAGTCCATGTGTTCAGAAGAAATTTTTGTATAGCCACTCTCCTTACTGTAGCCATCGTTACAAGAATCCATAAACAAGACTTCTTCGCCCCCCTCCCCCTAAACCTTTAAAAACTATAAAGAATTATAGTTGTCCAAATTATTTTATTTTTATTTATTTTGACCACTTCATCTTTAATTTATGTGTTAAAACTAATTTATTCTAAGCATTTCTTCCTTTTAAATGTGTATTGATTTTCTTCGTTAACTATCACCCAATTGACATTTTGACACTGACTAATTATTGTCAACAAACATATCAGTGCCACTTGATGATTGGTAAACTGTTGTGTATTGTAATAATGAAAATGCTATACGTGTATATTAGAGTAGAGCCAGAGATGAGGATCTAATTGATAAGTAAATATTTCTTCGCTCATTCTTTCTGTGTTCTAAATGTCTAAATGGGGATTTTTTCTACAATAAAATGGATGACAGAAATCTGAGTGTTGGAATACAAACCTCATATATGAAATGAATATCCACCACGTTTCGTTCAGGAGAAAATGAAACCAAAGCCATTAAGGGAAAATTGCACTTTAGTGTCAAAGAAAACATTTTACTTGAATCTAGAATTCAGGGAAGACCTAGGAGCGGATATTCTTAAAAGGAGAATCTTCAATTCCCTGGGGAAGAATTTCTCTGCAGCAATTCTAAGAGTGATATTCTGTAGCCGCATAGTACTTCAGAGCAAGGGGAATTATAGACTTCCGCATATGACCGCTTCAATGTGCATATATCAGTTCACCTGTTTGTGCGGAGATAGGTACATAGGTCGTTCTATGCGAGTCTTATCAATATGTGTTAGAGAACATCATCCAGCATGGCTGCAAAGTGGAGGCACTTATTCATTCAGAAGCGCCATAACTGAACATCTCATCAATGCCTGTCACAGCAACTCAACTGACTCATCATTCAGAGTCATTTACAAAGTAAACAAAAATCTACCAAAGGCAGTGTGTTTCCGACTTCTTTGTAATGTACAAACCTCCGCCATATGCAGTGAAAAGCTGAAACTAGTCCAGCCTTCACAACTACCATGAACCTAGTTTGGTATTTTCCCTTATCCTTCAGTTTTTTTTTGTTTTGTCATCTCTGTGTGTAATTTTCTCTCTTTGTCTTCATTCAATTCATCCCATTTTTTCAGATATAAAATCAGTTATTCTATGTTTGTTTCCATGCTCCTCCTGATCACACTCGTAATCCGTTTAGAATAACCATTTTACAATTATATTCTAATCCTGTGTAACATTTTTTGCTTCTATGCCTCTTGTAATCTATATTCATACCTCCTAACTTACATTTCAAGTTGAAAATTTTGATTTCAATTTGTTTCCATGCTCATTTCGTACACACCTGTAGTTCGTTCTATCTTTGTGTCTCTAAGCCTCTTGTAATTCATATCAAGTTGAAAATAATTATCACCTTTTATTCGCCTTTAAAATTATTACTACAGTTATCAAATATTAATTTTGCAAACGTTTTCACTGTTTTCTAATCCTATGCAATCTTGTCTCTAAGCCCCTTGTAATCTACATATTCGTACCTTCAAACTTTCACATCAAGTTGAAAATTATAATCACCTTCGTTAACCAGGTGGAATTAAATGAAAATTAATTGTATCCATGTTAACTAATGTCTATAAATGCAACTGTACAGGTGCTATTGAGAATGAAATCCTCGAAAAAAATATGCCAGCTGAACTTCGTGTTCCTTTCCCTGTAATGTCCCTATGGGTAGTTTTCAAGATTTGAAAATTGATTAGGGTATAGACCTCCAAACTAATGATAGGGATTCTAAGCAGAATTTACAGGGAGACATTTCAAGATGGTTCAGTTTAGGTGTTCAAAGTTCAAATGTCTATTAGAATTTGTAAAACACAAAAATAATTGAGTAATAAATATTCTTTTCGATAATTTCCTCTTCTGGCTTTACAATTATATATGTATGTCTAAATACATAGAATATTCTAGAATAGTATTCAATAACAATACTTACTTACAAATTGATATTATATAAAAAACACCAGTATTGTTATTGACTACTAATCTAGAATGTTCCATGTATTTAGACATACATATATAATTGTAGAGCCAGAAGAGGGAATTATCGAAAAGGAAATTCATTGCTCAATTATTTTGTGTCTTATCGATGTCTGAATTAATATTTTAGAATTTTAGTCGTTTTTTTCAGGCTTAAAAGTTTTTGAAATAACTTAAGCAAAATATGTACGATTCTGCATACATTCTATATCTCATTTGTTAAGACTCGTTATTTCAATATTCATTATTTTTAACCCCAAAGTAATGTGTTTTCTTACAGATTGAAAATGAGCGATATAAGTGTTATTGAACAAAGGTACAGAATTTTAACATCCAGCTCAGAGAACAAAACCACATTAAAATCATCCACCTGAGCTACAAATCTTCTCTATCATATCTAAAGGTACAGAAATCTGGCAACCTTTCAACTATTACCTTTAATTCTAAAGTAAACGGGCTTCCCGCTTAACGAAGTAATGCTGAGTAGAGTGTCGTGTCTTCTATGTCTGTAACTTTGATGCTAGACTTTGAAAAGATTATGTTGCACTATGAAGGAACTTAAATTGGTCAATAAGAAGACGAAACTCGTCTGAATCGTGCAATGTATTTGCACAACACATTTCGAACAATTTGATCTTAAATATTCTGTGACAATAAAAACTGGCTTATTTCTAATCAGATTCACAGTTCGAGCCTTGACATTTCAGCATAGTTTCCGTGGGAAACCGAATTATTGAGATCACAACATATTATCTTTAAAACGATTAGTTCCCTTTATGAATTTAGACAAAGCACTCAGAAGACATAATCTGTCTGAATCGTGTGTGTAATCTGCATTTGCGCAACACATTTTGAAAAAGTCTTATTAACAGCAGTGTTTAGTCTTTGTCTAGTTATCAAGCTGCTATGAAAACCCATATAGGGTGACTTGATGTACACGTATTTCTTAGGGACAAATTGTAGAGTGGGTTTTGGTGTTCTGACTACTTTATATCTCCTGATGAACTTGTCTGGATAATTGTTATCAACCAGAGTTTGTATCAACTTTCCCTCTTCTTCATGAAATATGTCTTCGGTGCATATTCATTGAATTCTACTGAAGAGGCACCTTACTAACAACTCGTCACTGCATTAAACCTTCCTTGGTAAATTTTGTTTTAATACTAGCCAGCGTAGATATACTATTACCTCTGTTTTTTTGTTTTAGTGGTCTTCATTGTTATTTCTACTTTCAGTATGTCCTTTTAACTTGACCTAAATTTATTTTCTCACCTCTTAACTCTTCATTAATTTGATATATAGATACAGCTTCCTATGACAAGTCGGTGTTTATGATCAGACTGTTCGAAATGTGTTACAGAAATGCACATTACACACACGTATCAGACGAATTACCTTTTCTTATTGCTTCGTCTTAATTCATAAGAGGAACTAACTGTTTAAAATGGTACTTCATAAAATTCTTTGATTTGCTTGACGAAGAATATAATCTAGGTCTAATAACTCTTAGAAATCCGACAGCACTTATCGAATATGTGGTTATATTCTACCTTGTGGTTAATCTGGTGGCATGCTCATTTTCAAAATCAGTCATTCAGTAACCAAATACCTATTAGTTTGGCGTGCGCTACTGGTAAGATTTTTCAGTAGTATATAAAGAGACGTTCATCGGCGTAAAAAAATCAAATAGTGGAGAAAGACATTTGACGTCAAAGGGAGAAAGAAAAAATGATTCCTCATTGTAGTTAAACATGGGAGACACGAAAAGAAGACAAATAAGCACAATAGAAAGAGCAGAAGTAGCAAAACACAGAAGATCTGTGCAAATGACGATTTACGGGCAGTGTGTACATCTGTCTGTGAGTTATACAGAGATACCAAAGTTTGAAAAGTAGACGTTTCCCTACGAATTCTCTTGCCTTCTGCTTTTACATTAGTAGCCATAAATGTATTTTCATGCACGGTTCGTAGTTCATATTAGTAATTATAAGGAGTATTTGTTCGTTCACTCTATTTAACAGGGAAAGTTTACCTGTGGCATGTCTTCTAGTGTTAAACTAATGATGCAGTGACTAGAACTTTTCTCTTCACTTGGTGGTTTATACTAGTTTATAACCACGATATGATGGAGAGGATAGTCCCCCTTATTGGGTAGTATATGCGATGAGGGCGCGATCACGAGGTATGAAATAAGGATTAAAGCTACTTAGTGAATTAAGATCTGTCGCATAGTTAGACTGTCATCATATATAATAAACTTTATTGATCTGTTTGCTAAACCCGTTGTGTTCTGAGTGGCTTTAAGCTATAACTGTGAAGTTCCAATAATAGTGTTGTTACTTATGTGAGGTGGACTCGATGGCTTCACATCAACCTTCCTTCTCAACGAGTATTACTACTCTCTCTAGGCGATGTTAAGAGATGTGTCTTGTGGGGATCGCCCTCTGAATCACATGCCCAGTTAGTGAACAAAACTAAGAATAAACCATATACGCTACCAAACTGGTTAAAGAGCATTAAATTCCAATTCATTGACATTAGCTTTCGGAATAGATCAATGTGAAGACAGGGGCCTAAATTTATAGTGTACTCAGTTGCGTCAATACTTTGAATTTGAATTCGATACATCCATTTAATTTTTATCCTCCAATCAACTAACTTCACACGTGAAATGCTGAAGCAAAAGCTACTTCTGGAATCGCTGTACCTAACACGATTTACCTACCATTCTAGTGTCTTTTAAACTTTAACGTTTTAGAATAGTTTTCAGGTGACATTACAAAGTAAAACAGTATGATAAATTCCACGCGGTATTCTGTTATACTGTTTTTCTCCACAGCTGGAAAAGTTTGTTTGCTCATGCTTACACTATGATCGCTGACCGAAATTATGCTACACAACAGAGAACATTCTAGTCGATTCCAGAGACAGACATTCATGTCGTCATGATGTAAGCAGTGGATCAGCGAGATCTGTTTTTGATGCATTTGCAGATGCGAATTTTTTAATTTCCCCAAAATTAAAGGCACACCGTGTTGGTTAGTGTATAAAAGGTTGAAGATGGGAAGTAAAGCTTCCAACTGACTTACTCCTCAAATTATTGTATCCAGAAAACAGCGTACCACACTGTGCAGTTAATATCTGCATTTTGTGAAACTTTGTTTCCTAATTTCTTTTTAATTTAATGAATATGCAAGTCATATGAATTAAACATATTAAAAAAGTTATCGAATATTTTTTTTCATATGAGTGCAGTACACTACTGTAAAAGTAATTAATAAATACTTACTGATGGCCTAGTTCATGTGCTATGATATGTCCTGTTCCAAATCCACGATCAAGCACTGCTAGACAAGAGCTATCTGGATTACACATTGATCGATAATGTGCTACTCCTGTTTGAATTTAGAGAAAAGCAAAAATTTATTACAGACTGTAAACACCTATAAGGGAAATAATAACTTCAATTATTTATTTTGTGTTAAGGTGTATAAATTATCGATAAATCGGGATACTCTAGTTTCATTAAAAAAGGCAACCGTAAATCTTTGTCACGATGGTTTATCTTGTAAACATGAATGTGTACTGATAAATGGTGTTTTGAAGCACCAACAATAATAACCACTGGTACTTGCTAGTCATTTCGAAATGACCTAAAGCGTATCCGGGCACCTGAGTTCATTCTGGTAGGGCATTATGGAATTATGAGATCGGTTAGAAACCTTGCATCCATACATTCCTCGTAACATGTGGCAGACAATATAACAGAAGGTATCGATGCTTTATTCACCGTTGATCATTACTGCTGTTTTCAGACAAGAATGTTTACAGAATTGATCGATATCTATCAAACCAAAATTTCAGCTAGAAGCACTTCAATATCCTTGAGACAGTTATACCGAAACCTAATATTTGGCATGTGACTACCTTATGACAGAAAGAGGATCTCTTCCTGACGCTCGGATTAGACCGCTTTTATTTGCCTTTTTATGAGTCTTTTCATTCTAAATTTGTGGTTTTTAGAAGAATGAATAACGCAATGGTTTGTCTTATACAGTACTACTATTATTATTATTATTCCCTTGGGTTCCGAGTGGAAAATATGGCTTCCATAACACATTTCCACTTTGTTCTAATTGATGCTGTCCTCTTCAGCTGGGTCCACACCTGACCATAATCTGTCATCTCTTCCTTACAAAATCTCCTTCATTTCACACTCGCACTGACGACTTACTGGTCGCTTCCCATTTGTATTCCACTGGAGCGATGGCCTGCATCTATGTATGTCCGATCCATATCCGTTTTCTTGTACATATTTATTGAGCAATGGGCTCCCGCCTGCTGGTTTTTTCCCGGACTTTCTCGTTACTAATTATTTCTGTCCATTCGACCTTGAGTATGAAGCGAAGGTAGGTGTTGATGAAATTCTGCCGACTGTTTGGAAATCCTTTTCGTTATGCGCTATCCATGCTTCTGGCCCATATAAATGCACTGACTGACTTTACATTGATGTTGAAAATTTGAATCTTGTTGTTTATGCTGAATGAGTGGAGAAGATTTCCCAGCTGGTTTTGTTATTCCGACTGGCTTCGACCTCTTTATCTGTTCCACCGGCCTGTAGTTGAAACGATCCTTCTTAGATAAGTGAAGGAAGTAACCTCTATCAAATATCTGTCGTTGATGGTGATTAATGCTGGTTGTTGTTGTTGTTGTTGTCGTTGGTTGGTCGGTTGGTTGGTCATCTTCATCACCTCCGTCTTTTCTATGCTCCATAATAATTTGTCTATTAGATACATCACACAGTGGAACAGTCTTGTTTACTGGATGATGTTTTAAACACAACTTATTGTTAATAATTACACAGATACGAGAATATATTCCAGCATGGTTTTACGAGGGAGAAAGGAAGTGTGTAAGGAGCTCTATTCTAGAACACCTGATCGTGACTCTACCAACTCTGAACATGATTTCAAGATCATCTGTTAAATTCATGCTAACTTGCCGCGTTTTCCTCTTTATAAAATTCTGGAGACAGTAGAGGCCTTGGCCATTCATGAATTTTAAACCAGACCTTTGTGTACAAAAGAGGTATTTATTTTATTTTTATTTTTGATCACAGCTTGATTCCACACCGTACTTTTGGTACAAGTATGGAATTTTCAGCGTGGATATCGGTGGCCCGAAATTCGCAGGCCGACCATAGATATCAGGTGTGCGTCGGCGAGGGCTCGAACCCCGAACCATGTGCATGGTAGGCGAGAGTCCTAACCACTGTGCCACCGACGAACATGTACAGTCCCTACTTCTGCCTTGGCCGTAGATGCATATATATATATATATATATATATATATATATATAACTTATTTTGTTAATTTAGTTATTCTATGTACCTTTCCCTCATTACCACGATTATTATTATTGTTATTACTGCTCTTGCGTTGAATTTTTTCCACTTGTCCCACTTATCATTCTTAATCTAAAAAAATTTACAAGATTGAATTCCATCTTATCAAATTACAGATTGTGTAACATTTTTATATATTCGCCTACTAATCCTATAATTATGCACCCCCTTTCCAACATCTATACACCTTATGTATTACTCTGTATATGGCATTAATTGTTTTGGGTACTTGATATTTGATTATGCTTATAACCATAAATATTGTAAGTCCTGGTTTTGTAAGGATTTTATTTGGTTAGTTGGAGGATTTCAGCATCATGTGAGCTGACATCAGTTACAGAACCACTGGGAAACCAGCTGAGACTACTGGGCAGCGGTTTCATCAGCCTGGTTTGAGATTCTTCATCAGTACGCACCCACCGGGGTCCGAACTGGGTTCCACCCAAATGAATATTTTAATTGTATTTCATAGCATTATCATTTATTGTATTCACACCTATGATTCAATTCTGTCACAGGATATAATTTATCAAAAACCATATATATATATATGACTGTACAGCTAAATAATAAATTCTTCAGAAAAAGTCTCTTAGCTGAATATCATGTTGTTAATAATCATATGAGTCATAATTACACAACTTCGAAAATTCCGTACTATAGGTTTCCTTATTCTTTCAGGAAAATGCAGTTACCCCAAGGACAAATCTGAAGGAATAAAGGCGCTTGATGTTTGTTGTCACACTTAATCGAAGACTTACGAGCGAAAACCGACAAACTGGTTGAAGAAGCAGCTGGCGAATACAGGACTCCAGGTGAACATAGAAAAGACGGAGGTTATGAAAATAACCAACCAACCAATCACCACCACCAACAACAATAGAAACACCCAGCGCCAATCACCATCAGCGGGAGAGATTTTAAAGAGGTTACTTCATTCACTTATCTAGGAAGCATTGTCTCAACCACAGGCAGTCGGAACGGACGAAGATGTCAGATCGAGCGAGAATCGAAAAGGCGAGAAACACACTCATCAACCTGAAATCAATCTGGAAATCTTCGTCACTCAGCCACCATCAACAACAAAATTCGGTAGGATTTTCAATACAAAGAACGTCAAGTCAGTCAGTTCATTTTTACGGATCAGAAACTTGGCAGGCGGGTCAGAAAGAATATTTCCAGCAGCCTGTTGCAGACCTTTATCAACAACTGTCTTCGCTGTCTCTATACTGAAGATCAGATGACCGGGCCGGAAGGGATCACCAACAAGAAACTATGGGAACAGGCAAAACAAGAACCAATCGCCCAACAAATATGTAGGAGAAAATGGAGAAGGACTGGACACTCACTGAGGAGGCGCCTGCTGGGTGACATCGCGCGCGCGTCAGGCCATTGCTCGAGTGGAACCAGACCGAAAGGGAAGCGGCGAGTGGGACGTCAGTGCAAGGGTGACATGGAGGAGATCGTGTGAAGAAGAGTTGAAACAGTATGGACTAACATGGATGCAGGTGAAAAGTACAGGAGAAGACAGAAGTGGCAAGTATAGACGTGCAGTTGAAGCCCCATTTTCTACTAGGAACCCAAGGGAACAATAATAATAATAACAATAAAGGCGCTTAAAAATATTAAGTTTCCCGGTTGTGTGACTATAACTGATATGATTATGAACGATAAATTGTTTTCGATATATCATCCGGTTATTACTACTGTTTCACCACTGTGTGATATATCTGATGAATAAATTCCTGTTGGGAGCATGAAACTCTGTAATTAATAGAAATTTTATTTTAATGAATATCATGTATAACTGAAATCAAATCATGCTTTTTCCTATGAAAATCATCCCAATCTGACTTACCCAGTGCAGTTGATTTGAAATGCCTAAAATATATAAAAACAAGTTCAAAGTTACAATTGTTGAAAATCTATCGAAAGCTTCGTTTTTATATGTACACTTAGAGAAAGCGATTTGAAAATGCGTGTTTTCTCTTCTGCGATATTTCTATACTTTATGCTACCTTCTAAGGTGTAATTAACCAATGACAAGAAAGCACCAACATGAGATAAAATTTTCTTTCAAACAAAGTTCCTGTAAACATTTAAGTAGTTTAGCGTACTAGTCAGAACACTGGTTGCCTGCCTAAAACTTCAGCTAACAAAAACCTCCATCAACCGCCTTTTACCGACCGATCTAGGAAGCATCATTGCAACTACAGGTGGAACTGACCAGGGTATCAAAGCAGCGAGTATCGGGAAAGCAAGACAAGCTTTAATTACTCTCAAGTCTGTGTGGAGGTCAACAGCACTCAGCATGAAAAATAAGGACCGAATTTTCAACTTCTAATGTGAAGACAGTACTATTTACTATGCGGATCAGAGACTTGGCGCCGCGCCGCTTCACGAAGGCCACTTCGAACAAACCACACACCTTCATCAACAGCTGTTTTCGTTTAATACTCCGTTCAGGATCAGATGACCGGCCATAAGAGATAAGCAGCAAGGTTTTCTGGAAGCGAACGAACCAATCCAACAGGAACCGATTGTGCCATTTATATATATATACATAGGAAGAAATGGAGGTGTATGGGATTGGCCGTTCTCTGAGAAAACAAACTGTCAAGTGAGTGACAACACGCGCCAGGCCATCGCTCGAGTACAACGAGCAAGCTGTTCCGTCTCTCGACTGACATTCTGTAGGACTGTTTTGGCTACTGGTCAGTAATTATTGTACTATGTCTAGTTATTTGTTTTTGGTGCAGAGTGAATTCCATCAGTCAATCGCACAGCGTGACCGTCATTATCGCAATCACGGTGCACTTTGAACTGTTAGTATTAGATGGCTGGAGGCAGGAAGTCAGCCATCAGTCCAAACATCTGGGTTGTAACGTCTGTGACTGCAGTGGTCACTGGGTGACAAAGATTCGAATCTCAGAAGAAACATGAGTTCTTTCAAGGTTAAGGTTATGCCTTGCTGACGAGTGCGGACAAGAACGAAACCTAGGTTCAGAAAAGGCTTCCTGTTTCTTGCCTCCAACCATCTAATATCAACAACTCAAAGTGCACCGTGACTGCAAACCAATTAGACTGCTAGGTCACACTGCAAACTTTACGGACAGATTTCAGTCTGCACCAAAAACGAAGGACTAGACACACTATACTAGTTACTAACTAATCTCTAATCGGAATACTTACATTTAATCAATATCCTTTTCTTCATTACATTTAGCACTGCACCACAGGTAATTATTGGCGATGATATAGAATATTACCCGATCATTCCAGCCTAACTGACCGCTACTAGGATATTAGTAATGACTGAGAATTTCGTACAATAACTATCAAACCCCTTTATGGTAGCTTGGAAATATCATGAAAAAAAATCGAAATGTATTCCCTGAAAACTCTAAACCACTTACCCGACATTTAATAAAATAGCTGAATCCCAAGTAAAGTTTGGACGTCTTAGTCGATTGACCCATTTACAGAATGTGGCCATAACTTGTTCCTGTTTACTGTTCAACCAGTCTTCAAGATTATGTCTGCGCTAAAATTATAATTTTGTAAAAAGGTACGGATTATTGGACAATGAACAAGACGCTGAGAAAATCCTTTTTAGAAGGAGTTTATTTAACAAAATTAATGAAACAGCAAAGGGTCTTTAACTCCTGATAAAGCTTTTTGTATTCTCGTTCATTATTTTACGACAAAGTCGACTGTAGTTTGATGGTCTCAGGTTTATGATTTGGGATCCTATAGATGTTGTTAATCATCGGAGTAAACATAAATTAGCGTCGATGACATAACGGTTAGGACGCTCGCCAACCATGCACATGGTCCGGGGCTCGATTCCTTTACATTTCCTTTACATCGCTAAGCCAGAAATAATCCTGGTAAAGAGGAAAGGTTGGGAATGAATCTAGCAACCCTATCCTGTAAAATAAACACTGCTACAGAAACTTAAAGCAACTAGCTTGAGGCCCTATGTTCTACTGGAGAAAGTGAAGGAAAAAAACAAAAAAACTCAACATCTTAGACGTCTAGAGAAATGTAGTTCATAGCAATACAATCCAATGTTACCAGCTTCTTTGACCCTCAATGGTGAGCGGAATCACAACTTTTCGCCTAATATCACTCCGCTCAAACTCTAGAATCACTGATGACATGTGAGGGAAGAAAGCAATCGTTTTTAAAGATTCTCTATGCATAACTGGTCTAGAATTGACCACTGAATGAATGACACTGCAGCCTTTGTTCATACACTAGCAGCCTGATTAAACCCACTAGGTTGGCTAATTTTCCTCAGAGTGTAATGCATTGAATTCATGCAGATATACCTTGTTTTATCAGACTTCTCGGTTAAATGGAAACCCCAGCTGAAACAAACAGTTCCCTAAGTATGGATAATGAACAAAGAATACTCTTTTCCACAACCCCTTCTTCATCAGGTTCTACAGTTATATAATCACATTATAGTCAATGAATGGATTAGCGTTATTAACAACAACATTAATATTGTTTAAATGACATCGAATCAATGATAATAATATCAATAGATTACAGTTCGACAGCATCAACATAACAGTACACTGAATATCAGACCGACAAATTGGGAAATATATTATTGCAAAATCATGAATGTATAGTTTCTACTGAAGGCCGACCAGGACAATAGTAGGGGCTGGACTCGCTTCTTTTGAACACAGAGCACTGGTTGTTTTTTGCGAATTGCAATAGCCTCGGCTGTTTGGAGTATGCGGTGTTTCGATGATTTTGACAATTTATTTGTTACCCGGTATATGATAGAGAAGGATTCTTCCACGCTAGCTGGCTTTATGGCTGGTTCGTACCAGGTGGTCTAATATCGAACTGTTGATAGTTTTTACTACATATTTATTTAGCCACACTGGTAGATGTTCCCGAGCAGAAGAAATCAAGTTCCTACAGCAACAGCCAATATAATTCGCTCCACCTCAAGCGTAGTTGAATTAATAGATACAATTGGAAGTGACTAGTCTAGGTGCTTCATCTTTCAGTCGAGGTAGCGCCATCGGTCGTGTAGAGAATAAGACGTATAGTTCGCCAGCATTAAAAGTTCTTTAAACTGGTTTTCTTAATTTCCTCTTAATTATATCACTTGGTATATCGCCCTTAAATAGCAGTCGTCGGTGCGTCGGTGGCACAGTGGTTAGGACTCTCGCCGACCATGCACATGGTCCGTGGTTCGAGCCCGCACCGACGCACACCTGATATCTATGGTCGGCCTGCGAAATTTGGGCTACCGATATCCATGCTGAAAATTCCATACTTGTACCGAAAATACAGTGTGGAATCAAGCTGTAAATAAAAAAAAAATAAAATAAAATAAAAATAAAAAAAAGTATATAAAGAGCCACAAAGCCAGCCAGCATGGAAGAATCCCTTTCTATAATCTACCGGGTGCCTAAAAAATTGCCGAAATCATCGAAGCACCACATCTTCCAAACACTGGAGGCTATCGCAATTCGCCTCGAACAACCAGTGCTCTGTTTTCAAAAGAAGCAAGTCCAGTCCCTACTACTGCTTTGGTTGGCCTTCAATGGACACTATAAATTTATGAATTTGCAATATTACCTTTCCTAATTTTTCTGACGTTCAGCTTATTTTATGTTGATGCTATTGAGGTGTAATCTATCAACATTATTGATTCGATGTTATTTAAACAGTATGAATGTTGTTCATAACACTAACTCACTCATTCACTACTCATTCACTGATGATGAAGTGGTTATCGAAAGGAGTATTCTTTGTTCACTAACCATTCTTCTGAAAATTTTATTGGGAATTTTTAATCAGTTCCTTAAGTCCTAGCTTTTTCTCAACATCATTTCTGAAATCGGGAGGAAAACTCGGAAAACATTTTGGTTTCAGAAATACCTTAGATTTCCTAAAAAAGACTAACAGATCGATGTAGGAGATTTGTGGATTCGTTTGTTTTTCAAATGAAAATACAATGGATGGAATGGTGATAATGAATTCCAAGGTTTCAAGCTTAGAATTTAGGCTTCATTCAGTCTACGTGGCTAATTTTATCACACCATTCTTCCTTATAAAAGGTTAAATGTCTTTTTTCCGGTTTAACTACTGCTCTGTGGGTGTGACACTGAAGTTTATGCTTGTTCGCATAACAAAAGAGGCAGAAAAAGTGAAAGGTACTTTCTAGGTCATCAAACATTTTACGAATGTAATGTAGTGGTTTTCTTCTCATGTTCAATAAGTGGTCAAAACTTCACCTTGGTTTTTTGAATAGCCTTTACAAATTGTATTAACCTAAACTCTGGTGCGAAATACCCTTGAAGGCGCCTGTATTTCTCGCAACCAGCTGTTGTAACCTTCTTGACTGTGGGAATTTCCGCTTATAACATAACGCTAAATGCACGGTAAACTACGCTATAGGAATATGACGTTTTATATACTTACCGCATAATTAGGGTCCAACAATATAATATCAACAATGCTTAGCTGAATTGAAGTTTTCAAACTCGGATGTCGTAATAGCGTTGAGACCTGAAGAGGAGAAAAGAAACCCACATTAGTGATTGCCATTCGTTCATGCAAAAAAATTTGGCGAGGAGGGAATTATTTAACAGAGAGAAAATTAATTATTTTTAAAAAATTTTTTGATTATAGCTTGATTCCACACAGTACTTTTGCTAAAAGTATGAAATTTTCAGTATGCGATATCGGTAGCCCATATTTTGCGATCTGAATATTGATATTCGGTGTGCGTTGGGATGGGATCGAACCCTAGACTAAGTGGATGGTCGACGACAGTCCTAACCGCTGTGCCACCGACACACATATATATAAGTGGAAACCCCCTCTTAAGTGCCTATCATGATTCAGTAATTCCTCAGTAGGTATGAGACCTAGTTAGGTCTTGCGTCTTCTATGTTTTCGTAAGCGAAACAGTGATCGAAAACCCTGAAGACTTCTATGTTTGAAACGTAATGTAATGCGTTATCGCCTTCATACATGAATATCAGGCTTCTTATGAGAGCCTTACTAGACGGTTTCACTGAAGTAATAGGTTGACAACAACAACTGAAATTAACTGGTTGACAGCTGGCAGAGTTCTAGTATACTTGATTGACGACATGTTTGGATGCCTAATCACAACGTATTAGAACTATTTCTAATGAATGGTAGTTACCACTATCGTAACATAAAAGTTCTCTTGATATAAGTATAAAACTTGGGCACTGTGGTAGAGTATGGCTCCATTATAGGTACGATTTTATTTCGATAAATCACACAGTGGTGTTATACAGTAATACTAAGTGATGTACACGTTTCGAGCACAAATTATTGCCACTCATAATCATATCATGTTACTCACACAACTTTTTCCTTCATTTATATACAGGTGCAGAATCGATTAGATATTGGAATAAAAATCAGTGTAGGATAATGTACATTCAGAAATAATAATACGAGTGTTATTGATAAATTACAATCAGATGGGAAATAAGACGAGTGTTTTCATAGTCATAATAAGTAACTTCTTAGAATGTTGTGATGTGCTTCAACTGAAATATAATTTTGAGATTATTTATTATCCTCCTTTGATCTGACTGACTGACTCACTGACTGGTGGTAATAATATCTTTCGTATTTCTGGTATTTGCATTGAGTCATTTCTGTTTCATGTGTTAAGTGTGGACTCGACGAACCAGGATTCAGTAATTAATCTCTTTCGTTCTCCACCTCTCTCACCCACCATATTGTGTGGTTGTGTGTCAATGTATGCAGTGCAGTTGGTGAGCTTTTTTCTAAATTACTTATCCTTGCAGGGGTCAACCATTGTAACCTTAGACAAATTCTTATGTTCCGACAATCTGATTACCCCCAATCTACTATTTTCACCCATATAGTTTACCTCGCTCACAGTCATTGCAGGGTATTTTGTAAATTATATTCTTTTGTTTAATTGGGTTCACCGGGTCTTTTAGCCTACAGAGCTTCACTCTGAGTGAGTTTGTAGGTTTGAATGCCACTCTAATTCCTGTTTTACTGGGAATCCTACGTAAAGAGAGTTTCAGATATAATCCCTTTCCTCCTTATGTGGTAAAACTACTGTGGATGACTGCAGATCCTGAACTCACTCATAGGACGACGTTGCCCATTGAGGAAATTATTTTAGAAATTCAGTAATGCCTCACATCTGCTATCTTTAAATACCAAGGCAAAATATACAGACAAACAGAAGGTGTAGCAATGGGATCATCATATATCCCCTATCGTAGCAGACATATTTATGGACAGCTAGGAAAATATGGCTCTTGATAGATTTAATCCTACTCCAAAAATATCATGGAGGTATGTGGATGACACTTTCACAGTGTTAAAAGCACAACATATCTCTTGCTTACTTACTCATATAATCTAACCAGTAGAGGAAATAAAATTCACATTTGAATCGGAAAATGAACAAAGAGAATAAGCTTTGTTAGATTGTAAAATAAAACGAACAAAAGATGGCAAACTGCACACAAGGATTTATAAAACACCAGCGCATTCTACTTATAAGTATTTAGACTTTAATTCATCTCATCAGTTAACTGTTAAGGCAGGCTTAGTTAAGTGTTTAACAAACCGAGCAGTAGCACTAAGTAGCACAAAAAAAGACCTAAATGAAGAAATAAAACAGATAGAAGAGGCGTTGGTATCAAATAACTATCTTATAAAATTCATTAGGAAAATCAGTGAAGGCCATCAGCTGTAGTTCTTTCCTTAAAGTCAGATTTTAGGGTAGATGTTGTGTACAGCTTTTAGGCGACTGGAAGCACAGAATATTACTTCTTTGTATCGTTTCTACCGAACAAAATCTATAAATCTTCAATAGTGCTAATTAGGATTTCTTATCAGTAATTGTAATGCTCTCTGTCAACACTAAGTGCACTGACATGTATATACTCCACACTGCATGTTCATAAAATGACCAAACTAGAATCCAATGGCTCCAATCAAGAAGAATTTTCACTTTCAATAGATAAGATGGCTGGAGGCAATCGGCAAGAAGTCTTGGGCCTAAATTCCGTGCTAGTTGACACTCATTAGTCAGCAAGGTGTATCTCCAACCCTAAAGGAACTCAAATTCCCTCTAAGATTAAAACCCACGTCACCCAGTGCCTCCTGCAGTAGTCAGAGACGTTGCCACTGAACCATTTGGGTCCACGATTGACTTCATGTACGACTGTACTGGATACTTTGAATGGGTGCTAGTAAGTAACCGGTGTGAGGTTTCCAGTCCTTTGTTTGGTGCAGACTGAATTCTATCAGTCAGGTTTGCACCACACTTTATTAAGGCGGCCTGCTTAAATCATTGGGCTACCGAAATTACTTTCCTCCAAAACGCTTAATTCCATCTGGATTTATCATTATTTTAATCGTCCAGTTATGTCAAATGACCTATACATAAACTTGCGCGATGATTTAACTTGCTTCCAAGTAAACGCTGTACGATTCTTCAATGAAATGAAGATAAACTTCAGATTATTACTTTACATGTGAATCCTGTGTGAAGAAAACAGTACTTTGGAGCTGAATACACTGAAAATTTTTGTACCGTTTATTCGCATACTGTCTTAAATAAAGCTTTACCATTATTATTATTATTAATATATTACACTCTGACTGCAGCGGTCAATGGGTGACGCCGGTTCGAATCTCAGAGAAGACATGAGTTCCTTTCATGGTTGTAGATACCCCTTGTTGACTGATGAGTGCCAATTAGCACGGAACCTAGGTCAGGCAAGAATTCTTTCCGATTGCCTCCACCCATTTAATATCATCAAATCAGTGTACATCGTGATGGTGAGCTACCTAGACTGGTGGCTGTATTGCAAAGTTGACTGTTAGAATTCACGATAATTGAAAACTTCTTGCTATCGCTATTTTGATTTTATAAAGGAGTTAATTAATTTGCCTTATTTCACAAGAAAATCTGTCTTTTGCACTACACATGCATAATCCTCAATTTTAGAGAGGTATATATTTTTTCTTTAGCTTTATCCTTGATAGTGTGATTAGCAATACTGGATGGGAGATGAAGACGAATGCACTGTCACAAAATGAGATCAAATCTTGTACAGCTTTTACGAGAACTTAAAGACTAGATGAATTGTATATGTATATGCACATGTTTACACGTCTCTCTTTTTGTGTATGTTTAACCTATGTATGTTTGTGAATTTAGAGGGAGAGACACAGGGGAAGATGAAAGTGGAAAATGTACGAAAGGATTGAGGCGAGAATGGGTTAGTTTGGTGATAAAATAAAAACAAGAAGAAGACATGTTTAACAACATCTAATTTCTTTCAAAAATTCGTAAAATCTATTTCTTAAGTAGACTAATATGATTATATTAGTAGTGTGTATTTCAAAGCAGAATTAGATTTATTGTCTAGATTCCCTTGTATACACATGTATTGCACAGGCATTCTTTTTTTTCCTTCACATTTCGCAGTGGAACATAGGGCTTCAAGCTAATGGCTTGAAGTTTCTGTAGCAGTGTTTATTTTACAGGATGGGGTTGCTAGACTCACTCCCAACCTTTCCTCTTTACCAGGATTATTTCTGGCTTAGCGAGGTAAAGGAGTGCGTCGGTCGGGGATGGAACCCCGGATCATGTGCATGGTTGGCGAGCGTCCTAACCGCTATGCCACCGACGCACACTGCACAGGCATTCAGCTTATCATAATGCTGTATGCAATGACCACTTGCATTCATGAATATATATGTGTATAAATTAGCAGTCTTCGTGATTTACTATTCGGTGTCAACACGATATCAGCGTTTATAATAACCATCTTGATAATATAATGACTAAGGTTCTGATAAAAGACAAACGTTTCTATATCTTTAGAGGATGTCTCAAGCAATTTTGTATTATCAAAAAATCGCATTTGATAGAGAGAAGACCAGTAGTTCAGCGAGGTGTCTCATTTTGGCTAATGCATTTTTACAGTTTTACATTCGCAAGTGTGAGGATGGATTTCCAATTGATGACATTGGTTGAAAGTGGAGCTAAATCACAAATTGATAGAATGTAGAATTCATGGACTGGTCATTGAATAAGATATCACTGGTACCTGAGTGGTATACGAGTTTGTCTTGTAACCGGAAGGTCCTGGGTTCGAATCCTGGGAGTGCATGCGTACCACCGATGATTCCCAAACTAGGCTGATGAAACAGTTGTCCAATACACCCTGTGACTGGTTTTCATTGGTTCTCTAACTGATATCCATCCGAGGTCAAACTCATGAAAACAAATCTAATCATTACAAAGCAGCTTTCTGCAGCCATGCTGAATAATGTTCTTTGACCCGTTTTGACAGAATGCGCGTTGAACGACTGATGTGTCTGGCTTCACAGTAACAAGCGAACTGATATATACACATGGAAGTGGTAAGGTGCGACACCTTGTACTTTGAGAGTAGTGTTCTCCAGCCGTCCGCTGATCTTCAGAGGCCAAAAAGACAAGTTTCTGTGACTGCGCTGCTTCTCTGAATGTGTTCAAATCTCACAAGGAATCAAGGCCTCCAGAGTTTAAGACATTCCTTACTTACAAAATACCAAATAGCTTTAAATGTTCATCGTGTAAGAAGAAGTGTGAACTGAATTTAAATATTTGACCTCATGGCCTTCTCTAATAGCTCACTTTTCATTTAAGCTGAAAAATCCAACATCATTGTATTGCCTAGTCTTTACGTAAGAGAGTAAACCTCACATTTATGGGAACACTGGAAAAGGAATGCTTAAAAACATTGAGTGATTGTCGACCAACGTATTTTAATTATACTTTGAATGTTCCCTTCTACTTCTTACAAGTCAACTTGAGGTTTATACCAGGCATCTATCAATTCACTCCTTTGTATCACTCAAAAAAGAGGAGAAAACAACGAACTTATCACTTCATAGCACTTCGGAACCAACCATCACCTGAAAGTCGTCCAGCCATACCACCGACAAAAGACATATAACTGTCAGTGGACATCAATCCTCGTAATAGGCAAGAAGTTTACAATTGCAATCAAGCCCCTGAAGGCCGACAGGGAAAGCAGCAGGGCTAAATTTATGTGTATGGACATTAATTTTGTCAAACGAAAATACAATTTGTTAATTATTTTGGTGGAGTTATGGGATACAAAAAGTGTTTTCAGAGGAATTATATCTTGATATAAGAGGGTAGCAAAAAAGTGATGACTTGTCACAAACAATTATTGAGGAAGAGTTACACAATAAAATGAAGAGAGTTTGATGAATGAGTTGTGCTCAGGGTGTACATGGAAACAAAATAACATACGGAATTACGCAAGAGTTTTAAGTAGTTAGAAAAAACAAGCAAACAAGCAAAAGTTAAGTCAAACCAACAGAGTTGTTACCATGAGAGTAGAAGTGGTTGAATAATTGTTTTTCCTCTGCATAGTTCTGGTTCTTCCAAATGAATGGTTAGGGCTTCCGCAATGCAGAGAAGGCGGAAATGTATTGTTTTCGACGGGTTATTCCTCACTTTGTGGATTACTCTGAAGCAAGAGGTGTTTTTTGAGATGGAATGACCATTGGTGACAAGTTGTTCGATTATTGCACTCCTTATATGGCAACTACTTCCTTTCTGCGGCCATGCTGTGAGATAGTGTTCTTTGACCCTTTTTGATAGGATGCACGCAGAACGACTGATGTGCCGGGCTCCACAGTAACAGGTAAACTGATGTATATATTTTCTTGGGACTTCTTATAATTCCTGTCGTTTTATAAATGAATTCATTGTCTCCTGTCTAATGGTATATGAATAAGGATTAATTTTTTCATAGATAACTAAAACAGAGCTTGTAATAACATGTTCAGACGAAAGTGGATTGATTTCTTCAGTTGTTCAGTTCATTTGACGAGTATTGATCAGGTTTTCAATGGTTCACTAACCGACGTCTGCTCATGATGAAATCCTGTAACCAGTCAATCAAATCCCTATAAGCCGACACTTGAATATCAATGAGATGCTCACTGGCGATTTACCTTATTCAGGTAGGTAGTTACCTGGGTTCCAGTGAGAAGTCATGACCAGTAGGGTATAGCAGGTCGGGTGTGAGGACAAATACTCGCCGAAGACATTGACTAGCGGTTGCGCTATATCATGAATTGGCAGAAGTTAGAATACATAGGCCATTGGATCGGATCCCAGTAGGTGGCTTAATGGTCTACAAGCTCACTAGCCTTTTAACCAGAAGGTCCTGAGTTAGAACCCTGGTGGGTGCGTACTGCTCAAGAGTCCCAAACAAGGCTGGCGATACAGCTGGCTATCCATTACTCCCAGGTTTTCCAATGGTTCTCTAACTAATGTCAGCTCATGATGAAATCCTGTAATCAATCAACCAAATCCCTACAAACCAATACTTAAAAATTCTTTTTACCGCTCCTAGATTTGATGAATTAACGCTCATTGTTACTCCTTACCATTCATTTATATAACAATAGGGTCAAACTAGGGATTTGAGAGAATACTAATATGCAGCGGTACAAGAATTTTTTATTATTATTGTTTCTTTGGGTCTTGGATGGACCGCATATTTCTATTTTGTCGTACTCTCTGTGGTCCTTTGTAGCCGGTCCCACAATTGCCCATAGTCCTATTTTAATCCCCTTTTAAAACACTCTGTCCTCCTTAGCACTCTCGAACCAACACCCAACTGGTTAATCCGCACTTGGGTTCCACTCAAGAAATGGCCTGGCAAGCGATGTCACCCAACTATCTCCTCAGCATTTACCATGTTCGTCTTTATTTTCTTCGAGGGATTTATTGAACAATAGGTTCTTGGTTGGTTCCTTCCTATAGCTTATTCTTGCTAATTCTTTCTGACTATTTGATCTCCAATGTGGAACAAGATTACGAGAATTAACCAACAATGTATAATGCTAAATATAGATGTAACATGATCACTTGGAGGATAATGCTTGATTTTATACAGCCTCTTAGTGATGCAGTTATGAAGATGCTAAAATGCATACTCATGACAACATCATGCTTACTGGGGCATTTACCCAGTCATCAGTTTCATTGATTAAAAGAAATATTGACGGAAGAAAGATATTATTCAGATTACAGCGAAAATGTATACCAAACCTAAAGAAAATGCATAGAGCACTGATGTTTGGTTGAAGTACTGCTGAACAAGGAAAGGGCAGCTAAATTTATCGTGGTGGGCTTAAAAAGTACAGTTACTGTAGATTTTCAGAGATTGAGCAAAGAAAGAACAAAACATTGGTGCAGAATAACATAGAACCATTGCTATTTCACTGGTTATCATCAGCTGCGTACATCCTGTAATCTTTAATAAATAAAGGCCAGAGTGAAATTTAGCATGCTTTTGTCATCAACAAGCACACGAACGAACGTGACAACGCTTTCCTCTAGAGCGAAAAGAATATGTTCACCTGATAAATTAGGCAGTGAACTAATGTCGCTTTAGAATTGCTTGAAAGGAAATGGTTATTCACAAAGTTTCATTAACAGATAGATATGGTAAGGATGAACGTAGGAAACCTGATCAGCCTAGAGTCACCAAGAAGTCACTTTTCATAGAACTTGGATTCAAAGGTGATGATATTATGAGAATCATAAATAAGAGATTAAGCGCAGCCCTGTCCATAGCGTACTCTACAGCAAATTTAGTCTCTCTACACGCTGTTGCAGTAAAATATCGAAAAGTACCCCTCATATGTTACCTCCAAATATATGTATCAATTCGCATGTATCTGTGGGAGCAGTTACATTGGAAGAACAGAAAGAAGGGCCTACTTCAGATTCTTCGAACATGTACCAAGAAACTTACAGTTAAAGGGGCCAAGTAGTTTAAGCTCTTCAATTACCAAACACCTGACAGACATTGGACATCGAGTAGATCCGATGGTGTCATTCAAAATAATTAACAGACAAAACAGCTAAAGTTTTCTTCGATTTGCTGAGGTTACCGCAAGAAAACGGCTAAAACCTGACCTTTGTGTCTAAAAGGAGCCTATCGTTGAACTCCAATAACTCTGTTGACTCATTCCCTAATAACACTAGGTCTTCTAACTTCATTAACTTAACTTTTCATCGCCACCGCCCTGTCCCCTTCTTTTCTCCTGGTTGATTTCTAAAAGAGATAATATTTTTGACTTCATGAATTCTACTCACCATATTACATCATCAGCTTTTCATCTGACCCCTTCCACACCAGATCTCGGCCTTTTCTTATCTAGCTAGGTAACTGTTACTATTTTTTACCACCCTAACAATAAAATTGTCAATTCATTTTGAAGAAACACCTCGCTAACAAGACATATATATATATCTATATATACTGACACTTCAACTACCTTGTCGTCCTGATGTCTTACCTCACCATGACGTTCTTCTAATATGCTTGTTGGTGATAAAAGTATGTTAAATTTTACACTAAAGTTTAGAAATCCAGCACCATCCATTGCAAAACACTTATTAATGTCAGGTCACAAAATCAATATTAATGACTGTTTCACAATTATTTCATCACATAACTCTGATTCAAGGTTATTGAAGGTGATGGAAGCACTTTGGATTAATCACATACAGCCTAAACTGTGTGTACAAAAATCAATAGATTTCAATCTTCGCCTACCATGGACTACTTGACCTATTTAAATATTATTGATCATTAGTATGTACTTTAAATTGGTGGGTGCTGCCAACACTGGGATTCAGGATGCGCATTTCTTCCTATTTGGGACTCGTCCTCTAGCTGGATGTGCCTGCATTCCCCAGTGAGTGATGATGTTCCCACCACCATGTTTCGAACCCAGTGTCCATAGTTTTAAACGCCAGAGCGCTATCCACTAGACTATTTGGGCCAGGAGAGCCACTGCCTTTTGTGCAACGGGTTATGTTAATTTAATTGAATTTGAATGATTTTCCCGTCGATTGACTGGACCGAAGTGCTCGGTCTCAGGTTGACATTTCGGCTTCTTGTACAGATGCTAGTCACTATCCACCAATTAAATTCTAATTAAATGCCCAGAAAATCGACGGGAAAATCTATAATTCAATTAAAGTATGTACTTTTACTTTTGATATAACTGAGTAATTGTCATGAACTTTATTTCATTATTGTTAATCATATTAGTTGTAAAGCGGTTGTAAAGAAACTATGAAATGGTGCCATCATCTCGCGAAATCTGTCTTCTGAATGCCTTATTCTAACTTTTATTTACTAAATATTACAGGTTGTATGCAGTTGATGCGAACCAACGAAGTAGAAATGGATCCATGTTATTCTGCACCAGTGTTTGTTTTTTCTTCTCTGCTTCAAAGTCACTATATTAGAAAAAATATAATAAACCATGCTTACCGTTGTCATGGTAGATAATAAATAATCCTTGATAATTGAACCATAGTGTTTTTTCATTCTTTCTGTTACTACTACAAGTAAATCGACTGTATGTGGTTCTACATATTCAAAACTTAATATTGGATTCTTATTTTCATCTTCATCGGCTTGTTTATCAACACCAGGTAGTGATGATAATTCATCTGATGACGACCGTGACATTTCATAGATTGATCCTGATACAGACACTGGTTTTGATGCAGTTACCAGTGCTGAGGGATGATGATCGACTACAAGGATACGTTTTTGATCCATGCGTAGTGTATGACTATGTCCGTATAAATTAAAAGTATTTTTGGTTCTATTTTTTATATGCATGTTAACAGGAGATGGTGTCTTCACGTATATTCTGGAATGTTTACCTGAAAAATACCTGGAATTGTTCATTCGATACTTAATATGGGATGTAAGCATCATTGGAGCTGGTTCGTATGGATTTTGAGACGGTTGGTAAGCTACAAAAGAAAGAAAAAAACCGTGAGCATTACTCCATGAGAGTATTGATTTTCGCGCAAAACTAAAAGGCACATAGATGCTAAATCGCAGATAAATCATCTGACTTGATGTTAATTGGGTTTTGATTGGAACATAGGGCGTCTCCACTTCAACCCATTCTCTGAAGTTCTTTCCCCTTAGTTGTCCATAAATTTTCCCCTCCTGCATGCCATCCATCATAATATCGAGTTTATAAGACATTAAACCTAGGTAGTACGCGAATCCCAGACCATCTAGAGTCCTCTTCCTATAGGCCTAATGTGTTTCTGTCTTTTCACACCCAACTCACAGTCTGACGCATAATTCAGTCAGTCCGTCAAAATTAAGGATATCATCCGGGCAGACAGTTTTATCTTACTTCTGCATTCACTTCGAACGACTCGCTGAGTTTTCCATTGTGGATCGCCTGACACCTGGCATTGTTATATAGCCAGCTGTTGAATGATTTTGATAAATATTTGGGTACTACACACCGTAGTGTTGAAGTGGTATCCACATTACTTCGTGGTCAGTGCTGTCAAAGTCTTTTTCAAAGTCGACGAAGTTGAGTTACAGGTCTGACTCTCATTGTATGCTCTGTTCTATGAAACCAGCTTGTTCTGGCTGGTAGAGTTCTGCCTCCAGTGCATCTTTTATTCTCTCCAGGACGAAGCAACCTAATATTTTGCCTGTCACAGACAAGAGTATGATTCCGCGTGAGTTTTTGCAATAGTTTAACTCACTCTTATTTCGTAGTTTGACAAGGTAGACAGCCTTTCTTACCATCAGTTGGTACCTTTCCTTCCTTTCAAACTGTTTGCAACAGTGTTGTGAGCACATTGAGTTTTCAGTATTTCAAAAGGAATCTCATTTAGCCCTGATGCATTCCCTGTTGGCCTTCAGGGGCTTGATTGCATTGTGAACTTCTTGCCTATTACGAGGATTGATGTCCACTGACAGTTATATGTCTTTTATCGGTAGTATGGCTGGACGACTTTCAGGTGATGGTTGGTTCCGAAGTGCTATGAAGTGATAAGTTCGTTGTTTTCTCCTCTTTTTTGAGTGATACAAGGGACTGAATTGATAGATGCCTGGTATAAACCTCAAGTTGACTTGTAAGAGGTAGAAGGAAACATTCAGAGTATAATCAAGATACAGTTGCTGACAATCATTCAATGTGTCTACGCATCCTTTAGACGAAGTATCTGATATCTATTCATTTGTGATCCTTTTCCAGTGTTCCCATAAATGTGAGGTTCATTCTCTTACGTAAAGACTAGGCAATACAATAATGTTGGATTTTCTAGCTTAGATGAAAATTATACTATTAGAGAAGGCTGTGAGATCAAGTATTTAAATTCAGTTCACACTTCTTCTTACACGATGAACATTTAAAGCTATTTGGTATTTTGTTAGGTAGGAATGTCTTAAACTCTGGAGGTCTTTGATTCCATTTGAGATTCGAACACACTCAGAGAAGCAGCGCAGTCACAGAAACGTGTCCTTTTGGCTTCTGCAGATCAGCGGACGACTGAAGAACACTACTCTGAAAGTACATGATATCGCACATTACCACTTCCATGTGTATATATCAGTTCGCTTGTTACTGTGGAGCCAGACACATCAGTCGTTCAACGTACGTCCTGTAGAAAAGGGGCAAAGGACATTATTCAGCATGGCTGCAGAAAAGAAGTAGTTGCCGTATAAGGAGTGCAATAATCGAAAATCCCGTCAACACTGGTCATTCCATCTCAACAAACGCCTCCTGCTTCGGTGTAATCCACAAAGTGAGGAATAACCCGTCGAAAACAATACGTTTGCGTCTTCTTTACATTGCGGAAGCCCTAGCCATTCATTTGGAAGAACCAGAACTATGCAGAGGAAAAACAATTATTCAACCACTTCTACTCTCATGGTAACAACTCTGTTGGTTTGACTTAACTTTTGCTTGTTTGCTTGTTTTTTCTAACTACTTAAAACTCTTGCGTAATTCCGTATGTTATTTTGTTTCCATGTACACCCTGAGCACAACTCATTCATCAAACTCTCTTCATTTTATTGTGTAACTCTTCCTCAATAATTGTTTGTGACAAGTCATCACTTTTTTGCTACCCTCTTATATCAAGATATAATTCCTCTGAAAACACTTTTTGTATCCCATAACTCCACCAAAATAATTAACAAATTGTATTTTCGTTTGACAAAATTAATGTCCATACACATAAATTTAGCCCTGCTGCTTTCCCTGTTGGCCTTCAGGGGCTTGATTTCTTTGTAAACTTCTTGCCTATTACGAGGATTGATGTCCACTGACAGTTATATGTCTTTTATCGGTGGTATGACTGGACGACTTTCAGGTGATGGTTGGTTCCGAAGTCCTATGAAGTGATAAGTTCGTTGTTTCTACGTTTTTTGTATGTGATACAAGGGACTGAATTGATAGATGCCTGATATAAACTTCAAGTTGACTTTTAAGAAGTAGAAGGGAACATTCAAAGTATAATCAAGATACAGTTGCTGACAATCATTCAATGTGTCTACGCATCCTTTAGACGAAGTATCTGATATCTATTCATTTGTGATCCTTTTCCAGTGTTCCCATAAATGTGAGGTTCATTCTCTTACGTAAAGACTAGGCAATACAATAATGTTGGATTTTCTAGCTTAGATGAAAATTATACTATTAGAGAAGGCTGTGAGATCAAGTATTTAAATTCAGTTCACACTTCTTCTTACACGATGAACATTTAAAGCTATTTGGTATTTTGTTAGGTAGGAATGTCTTAAACTCTGGAGGTCTTTGATTCCATTTGAGATTCGAACACACTCAGAGAAGCAGCGCAGTCACAGAAACGTGTCCTTTTGGCTTCTGCAGATCAGCGGACGACTGAAGAACACTACTCTGAAAGTACATGATATCGCACATTACCACTTCCATGTGTATATATCAGTTCGCTTGTTACTGTGGAGCCAGACACATCAGTCGTTCAACGTACGTCCTGTAGAAAAGGGGCAAAGGACATTATTCAGCATGGCTGCAGAAAGAAGTAGTTGCCGTATAAGGAGTGCAATAATCGAAAATCCCGTCAACACTGGTCATTCCATCTCAACAAACGCCTCCTGCTTCGGTGTAATCCACAAAGTGAGGAATAACCCGTCGAAAACAATACGTTTGCGTCTTCTTTACATTGCGGAAGCCCTAGCCATTCATTTGGAAGAACCAGAACTATGCAGAGGAAAAACAATTATTCAACCACTTCTACTCTCATGGTAACAACTCTGTTGGTTTGACTTAACTTTTGCTTGTTTGCTTGTTTTTTCTAACTACTTAAAACTCTTGCGTAATTCCGTATGTTATTTTGTTTCCATGTACACCCTGAGCACAACTCATTCATCAAACTCTCTTCATTTTATTGTGTAACTCTTCCTCAATAATTGTTTGTGACAAGTCATCACTTTTTTGCTACCCTCTTATATCAACATCCAATTCCTTTTAACTTACTAATTGCATTTTCGTTCGACAAATTTAATGTGCACACACCTACAAAACAACCATACATATTTGCGATTGACCAGTTATCAAAATGAATTCGCCGGCGAATAGAGACTCTTCGTTGAACTACTAGTCTTCTCTCGTTTAATGTTCGAATTGTGATTTTTCATGAATTAAAAAAATCATCGTCTATTATCTACTTTAATGTTTGATAATATACTAAAGAACCAAATCTCTCATGTCGACTTATTCAGTCTATCATGATTCAACTTTTTATTACAACTTGTCATGTAATTAAACACAAGGTACCAGATATCTTCATAACAACATTTGTAACAGTCCCTGAAGTTGTACATACTGAATATGCTTAAAAAAAAAGGAAATTTTGTACATACAGCATAAACAATTATTAGTCACTCGAGTCCTTTCTTTGTTGTTGTTTTTTTCCAGCGTAAAATAAGCGTAAAAACATAGTCATCTTTCAAGTTTTACGATGCGACACTACACTGAGATTTGTCATTACACTTATTCATCTGTCTAAAAGTAGCATTTCTGTGTCTACTAACTACTTGGGATTTGTAGGCGACAAAATGTACAGCCATTTTAAGGTTTACATGTCATTGAATGCAATTAGTATATATATATATATATATATATATATATATATATATATAATACAGTGACTCAGTTCCTCTCTTTTTCTTTAATTTTTTTACACTGAAAGGTTTATTTTGTCTGAAAGAAAAAAACTAAGTTCAAAGTAAAAAACTTTTAGACAAAAACAAGAAAAAAAGAATTAAAAGGAAAGGAGGCTTTACAAATTAGAACTAAAAGAAAAACAAAAACAACTACATGGTGGTTGAAAGCAAAAAGAAACCTTGTAACCAATCAATCAAATCCTTACAGACCGATACTTGAATAACAACGAAATGCTCACTACTGACTGGTGCTATTTAGGTAGTTAGTTACCTGGGTTCTAGTGGGAATTCTTGACCAGTATGTTGCAGTAAGTCAGGTGTGAGGAGAAATACCGGCCGAAGACATTGGCTGGTGGTCGCGCTATGTTGTGAATTGGCAGAAGTTGGAATTCATGGACAGGCCATTGGATCGCGTCCTAAAAGCTGAATGATCTACAAGCTCTCCTTGTAACCAAAAGGTCCTGAATGCGAACCATTGTAGGTGTATACTAGTGAAGACTTCCAAATGGAGACGAAATAGCCACGTAGTACTCCCTACTGGCTTTCCAGTGATTTTCTACCTAATGTTAACTAGTGCTCAAACCTGATTCTATTTTATTATTTCTTAGCTGTAACTATGTTTCATTTAGCAGCGTCGATTTCAACTGTTTGATGGTATTTCAAATATGTAATTCACTGCAGCAACACCCCAACTGGCTAGCCATCACCCCTGCAGAATGGAAGAAGGTCCTTGAATACCTTCTATCAATCAATCAGTGGGTGTATACTCATGAAGGATCCTAAAATAGGACGAAACAGCTGGCTGTCCAGTATTCCCAGCAGGTTTTTCAATGGTCTTCTAACTGATGTCAGCTCATGAAGAAACCCTCCAACCGACTTAATGTACCTGAAGCGGTTAACTTAACAGTTTTTTTCTTTCCTATGAACCATAGATTTCTCAAGCAAACTGATGAAATGGATAAACTGACTGTGTATTCAACTTACATGGATAGGCAACTTTTAACTGATCCAATTGATCAAAACTTGTCTTTTCAATAGAACGAATTATGTTCTCTCCTTGATCTTCAATGAACACATCTTTACATTGTTCGTGAGACTAAAATTCAAATAGAAATACAATGTAATCCTTTATATGGAAAATAACAAAATAGTTTATTGAATTAAAGCGTAATTATTGTAATTATTTCTAAACAGAAATCAAGGCAGCTCAAGGTACCGTCAATTCCGAAAAGTGCTTTATTCAGACAAATTCAGTTCCTCGAGAATAACATGAGCGATTTGCCTCAGAAATGCGGTAAAAAGAGCATTCCATGCTGCCGAATTACGCTGTGTCTTCAAAACCACCCCTATTTTGCTTTCGGCAGTAAAAGACAAAAATCTGCGTAATTTCGCCTCTTCCATGTGTATGTATCTACCGATGTAACTGCTCCTGTGGAGTGAGCCAGTTAGTTGCATAGGCCGCACAATTAGGCTTGTTTCTCGTCATATTGCCGAACATCGCCCAGCAAAGTGGTTAAGTAAAGGATGAACAAAATCCGTTCATAGGTCTATTCTGTCTAATTCTGTGAATACGGAGCACAAGATTGATGTAAACGAGGCGGCTTTCAAAGTCATTTACCACATACCAACAAATCTTAGCTTCGCCTTGAGACTTTGTCCATTATATATTGCTGAGGCTGAATGTTGGGATGCAAATTAAGAAGCCAAATTTATGTGTCCAAAAGAGGTTGGTTGGTTCAGATACTATCCTCAGGTTTTTTGCAGAAATTTCCTTAACTTTATTTGACATTCGGCTTGCTATTATATCTGTTTATTACTGTAATTTATGCATTATTGTTATTAGTATTCCCTTATGTTCCGAGCAGAACAAAGGGCTTCAACAGCATATCTCCACTTTGCTCTACTTTTTGCCATCCTCTTCAGCTGGGTCCACGACTGCCCATAATCTTTCATCTCCTCCTCCTCCGTAAACGATCTCCTCCATATCACCAATGCACTGAAGACCCATTCGTCACGTGTCATTCGCATTACAATCAAGTGATGGCCTGCATTGCGGGCGATGTCATTCAACGACCTCTTTAACGTGAACCCGATTTATCTTCATTTTCTCCAAGATATTTGTTGAGCCGTCGGCTCTTGCCTGTTGGTTTGTTCTCACAGTTTCTTGTTGCTTATTCCTTCTGGTTGGCCATTTGATCTTCAGTGTGCAGCAAAGGTGGCAGCTGTTGCTAAAAGTCGGAAGTAGCCTGTTGGAAATCCTTTTTTGTGACTCGCAATACACGTTTCTGACCAGTATAGAAGCACAGGCTGACTTCACATTTGTGTTGAAAATCCGAATCACCTTCCTTATGTAATTCCACTGATCTTACTTACACAAATCGATATTATTTAAAAAACACCAATATTGTTATCGATGACTATTTTAGAATATTCTGTGTATTTAAACATATTTATATATATATATAATTTTAGAACCAGAAGAAGAATTTATCGAAAAGGATATTCTTAGCTCAATTATGTCGTTTCGTTTTAGATGTCTGAATGAATATTTATATATACAGGTTTATTATTTTGAATGTACGTGTGGACACACATGCATAGGGAGGACTCATCAATCTTTTCTGATAAGGACTAGCTACAGAGAATATTCTTAAAGGGCTCAGGAAGCAAATGGAATCCCCAGAACTCATTAGTGAGAACAGGTGATGTATCTCCTCTACTGTCAAACATATATAGAAAATAAAATTGATGTTTACACGTCTTTTAAACCTATCTATTACACGTGTTTGGGCAGTATCGTAAAGTCAGTGGAAGTTCTAGCTGGTAATTAGAAAGTTTCAACCACCTTTATGCATTCAAAACAACAATTCGTCGTCACACTTAACATTTAAATGAACTGTCGTCAAGAGTTGACAGAATAGTTCTAAAATATTTGGGCGCCGAGTGAGAAATAGACATTTGTAAAAAATTATATTTGTAAAATCTCAGAGAGATTGAAATGAGTAATTCCAACGTTCCCTGTATTCGCCAATCTGGTCCGAACTTCTTCAGGGAAATTAATCGAAATTAACATTACAGAGGCTTATATATAAAAAGAACATCTCTTGTTTTTACAAACCACTTTGTCCAATCATGAGTCATAAAGCAAGTATTAACAACTATAATAAACGAAATTGTATGAACTGCGATCAAAATTTGACCCCGGAATTACAAATATTGGTCTACCTTTGTTAAACACTTTAAACAGAGTATGTGTGTGTGTGGGTAAAACAATTTCTAAACGTCTCCAGAAGAACCTACAGGCAGTCGGGAATTTTGACCAAGTATTAATAATTAATTAGTGGTACATATCTATTCTTATTTATTAATCAGGAACTATGTAATTGGCACAATCATCGTGTTTTCACTCTTCGCTGTCTGCAATAGAATGCGTATCCTAAATTCGTAGCTGTCCAGTCACCTGACAACTTCAGTAGGTCGAATAAAGCAGCTCAATCTTCAGAAAGAAGACAAAGCAATAAGTTCGACAGGGTGCTTCAACTAAACTCTAATCCTAAACACCATAATTTTGAAAACACGTCTAATCATAAAATTCTTGATACTAACAGTTTGAACAGACATGAAGGTGTGTGATGTTGGCTGATGCATAGGAAATCCTGATTAATGATTAAGAACGGATATGTATCACTAATTAATCAACAATGCTTGGTCAAAATTCCCGACTGTCTATATCTTCTTATGGAGACGTTAAGACATTGTTTTACAACTGTTTATCCGCACACACACATACACACTGTGTTTAAAGTGTTTAACAAAGGTAGATCAATATTTGTATGTCTGAGGTCAAATTTTGATCACAACTCGTACAATTTTGTTCATTATACTTGTTAATATTTGTTTTATAAATCATGATTGGACAAAGTTTTTAAAAACTAAAGATGTTCCACTTTTTATAATATAAGCCTCTGTAATGTTAATTTCGATTAATTTCCCTGAAGAAGTTCGGACCAGATTTCCGAACACAGGAAACGTTGTAATTACTCATTTCAATCTCTCTGAGATTTTACAAATATAATTTTTTACAAATGTACGCTTAACCTTCCTTGGTAAACTTTGTTTTGATACCTACGAGGGTAGATGTACTATTATCTCTGATTTTCATTCTTATTTTGACCTTGACCATGTCCTTTTAACTTGACCTAAATTTATTTTCTCACCTCTTAACTCTATTTATTTCATATATACATATTCCTATGACAAGTGGACGTGTATGATCAGATTGTTCGGAATGTGTTGCGCAATTACATTACACACACAATTCAGACAAACTACGTCCTCTTATCGCTTTGTCTAAATTCATAAAGGGAATTAATCGTTTTAAAGATCATATATTGTGGTTTGAATAATTTGATTTGCAACAGAAACTCTGGTGAAACCTTACACCTCGAACTGTGAATTTAATTTAAAATACGCCAGAAGACTTAATTTCTCATAATAATAGTGTGGTATAGGCAGTATGCGACTTCGAAGGAATACAGTACTAGTTAAAGATACTGTACCAATGTATGTTACATCAAAAGAAACCTACTGAGACATAAAACTGTCAATGCTGCTGCTATTGAGTTGTAATATAGTCCCTAAGGAGTGCCACTGTCTTACCTCTTGATTATAACAGAACTTTTAAGGCTTTGGTTTTGTTGTATGATAGGAAAGATATCTTTTTGTTCTCGTCATCCTTAGAATTAATATGACACGCTGAGGTGTCATAGTTGGTTTGTAAGGATTAGATTTATTTTTACGAGTTGATCATGGATTGATATCAATTAGAGATTCATTGGACGTTTCGAACACAATTTATTATTGTGCATAATCATATCAACTGTAATCACACGTCTTTGAAACTTGACTTTTATAGTTTCCTTTGTCTTCTCCTATTTGTCGTATTTGTAGTAGTATATTCATGGATAGGTGGGAAAACATAGCAATTGAAACGTTCACCCCTATCCCAAAAGTATGGTGGAGGTATGTAGATGACACATTCACTGTACTTAGAACACAGGCTATAGATAGATTTTTCGAACACATCAACTCGAAGGTAGAGGCAATTCAATTCACTTATGAATTGGAAAGTCAGGAGGGGAGCTTCCAATGTTAGATTGCAACGTAAAAAGGAAAGAAGATGGAAAGTTAAACACTAGTGTTTACAGGAAACCCACACATTCAAACAGATATTTGGACTTCCGATCATCCCATCCAGTGTCAGTAAAAATAGGATTGGTGAAATGTTCAAGTGACAGAATACAAAAACTAGGTAGTACGGAGGAAAATCTAAGACAGGAAGTAAACATATAAGAGAAGCCTTGAAACATAATAGTCACCCTGATAAATTATTCAGGAAATATGTAAGGAAACGTAAAAATAAAATAAATAATGATAATAGCGATAGTGATAATAATAATATCAATGACGACATGCATGTCAAACACGCACTAGATAACGACAGCACCAACAATAAGGAATCTAAGTCATCAGTAGTAATTCCATACAAGGAAGGAACCTCGGAAACCACCTTACGCAGAATTCTTAACAAGACAGGCAGGAATAAAAGTGGTTGGCATTCAAACCAACCACAAACTCAATTAGAAACAAGCTTTGTCAGTTAAAGCATCAATACTGTGGAGCCTTTAAAACAAAACAATTTAGTCTATCTAATACACTGGATTCAATCATTGTTAGGTCAAATACATGGGTCAAAGTAGTAGGACAGGAGCAGTCAAATTAGCGGAGCATAAAAACCTAGCAAAATCTAGATTGAGTGACCCAAATAAGATTAGAAATTCAGAGAATAGTTCAGCTGTAGCACTCACTACATGCAACTGCACATAACCATACAATGGGAAGGGATAAGATGACAGTTTTAAAATCTAATGTAACAGCAGGGTGGAGGGAGAGGTTGATAACAATGGAAGTCTTTTTATCGAATCAACTGCAAACACGTGTGATAGGAATGATTCAACACCTGTTCACCCAGATATCTGGAAAATTCTACTACCCCAACGATGACAAATAGGAGAGGACAAAGGAAACTATAAAACT